GAGGGAGTAGGTATCAACTATTCTGTATATCCTCGGTCTCGCGTTAACTGCTATCGTGGCCAACTTTTAGAGGCTGATGGCGGCAGGGTGAGCTTTTTCCTTCCCCTCTATCGCGTTTTTTTCCTAAGAGCTCGCTGTCTCAGCGTGGCAGTTACCTTTAGTTAGCTTACCTAAATCTGGGCCTCATTTCTGTTTAATTTCACATCCACAGTTGACCAAGTGTTTCAGTTCCCCGGCAACACAGGACCTCTGCTATTTTCTAAATAAATTTTACGAGGCTCATCCCGTCTGAAACCAGTTAGTTGAATGAAGGGAAAGTGAGTGAATAAAAATAGATAAATAAAGGTATAAAGTCGTTCGATTGTGGTCTTCCATAACCCAAGTTAAAAATGTTTCATGCAGTCCAAAAATTCTTATAGTTAAGATGTTTCCGATTTGCATTTGTTCGTCATTTGTTCGTGATGGCATACGCTTGAAAATTAGTGTGCACATAATCGGGAAGAAGCCGTTTTCTGTCCAGAAGCATAGATAACCTGTTGCCTAGAAATATTTTAAACAATAACTATAATTTTACCATAAAAGGCAACGTATCAGCCCCTGCTGCACAGACACAAACACTTACTCCCACACGAATCTTCAGAAATGAAACAAAACAAACAAGGAAGTATCAAACCAGCTGAAACCAAAGCTCAAGAAATCATCATTTCCGTTTGTAGTGATCTCATTGCTTTCAATCCACCAGGCATATATCGAGAGATATGTGTTAATTCTTCAAGGCATTAATCTCTCGGCGTACTTTGGAAATCTGTTTGTTAAAGAAAACGAGAAACATTTTGAACTGTTAAAAAAACACATGCAATCAAATTTCGGTGTTTTCCCATTCAACAGCTTCCACTTCCGGCCGTTCACGAGTACAAAAGACGATCCAAAAAAATTTCTCTCGTCCGCGGGCATTTTTACTCTACCAAATTTAACCTTGCTTATATTCATACACTGCATTTCAATATCAAAGCTTGAAGTCATCGAAAGCTATAAAAGCCAGATGTGGAATCGAATACCCTGATTTACGTGGGGTCGAAAGGACTTCCGGTTTAGCCAGAGGGACGAGGCGCTTCGCCCTTTTTGCATAATTTTCAGCACAAGCCAATCAAACGAAAGCAATTTAGTGGGCCGTGTCTGATATATGACCTTTCAAATACAGACTATGAAAGCCTCTCCGCGTCAGTCAAGGAACGGGAAGAGCTGATTCCATGCAAGATGACTACTATCGATTATCAAGGTGAGCCTAAGTTTTGGATCGGTGACTATCCCAAATATATCAGTGCTGATCATGCCCATGTGTTCTTATAGGTGGCAAGCGCTATGGACAACTTCGAAACGATCAAGAAAGAAATTTAGATGAAATCAACAAGGTGGGTTGAAAAGCGGAATAACACGTTGGTAAACTTACAAGACAATTCAATGATCATTTGCTTCCGGTTTCTCTGGCTTACAACCATTCTGATCTATGTTTGCGATCTGTACATGAAATGAATAACTAACTAGAATCGTATTCTCTTCGAGTTAATCAAAGCTACGAAATTGTTGCTTCCGAAATTGAAACCTTGCGCATACTTTTAGCCCGCTGGGGTTAAAGTTGCATTTCAATCAGTTCTTTTATTCATCTACGCAGTCGAACGCACAAGGCCTTGATCGATCGCTTGGCGTGAATTGCTAAATAAATCTAAATGGATACTGTATCTTTATCCTAGTCCTTCGTAGACAGTGGGGATTACGATGACGAAGATGACTACCCTGATCTTAATGATCGACTGGAAGGCTACAAAAGTAAGTTACGTCGGAGAATGATTTTGTTTGTTTGGCTTTTGAACAATGGCCAGCAAGTCATTTCACGTGCGAATCACGAGCAATTCAAATCCCAAAGTGATATTATCACGATCGCTTTATTTTATTTTACTTGAGATTTCAAGAGACCTTCTAACTCTTATTTTTTCTCGGTTAACAGAGCAGTTCATGGAATTTGACGAAGATAATTCAGGGGATATCGGTGAGTTTTCATGCGTGATATCTATATCTATATGCAATTAAACGGTTGCTGAAATATTGATCTTATTACGCATAGTAGATATGAGTATTCAAGTGTAAGCAAATAAAGATTGTTACCATATTTGGAATTCTCAGTATTTTACAATGGAGCAGTATTTTTAATTAATTTATTTCATGCGAATAGTTGGTCAAACCCATTGTGAATGATTGACATTCTTGAAAAATGAAAACTAATACGTCTTTTATTTTTTCGTGGACGTGTCTGATGAAAAAGGGACTATTAATTTAAAAAAATTGTCACTATAGCAGAGACTAAAGATCATCCGACCGATTGTCATCAGTTGTCACAACAAAACCGCCCGAAAGCTTTTAGTCTCAAGACCGTTTTAAATTAAAGTACCATTTTGACCACATCGATGGTGACATGCGTGATTAAGTCATTTCTTACTTTCAAGAAGGAAACTGAAATACCCTTCACGAAGGAATCTCCCATTTAGTACGATCTGAGGGGCTGAAGAGATTCAAGTGACCATTGTTTGAAATGCTGTCACGCAAAATAAAAAAACAATGCGTGACACAATACATGCGTCTCGTCTACCGCGAAAAGTTTGATCGAGAGCGAGAATGGGGAGAGAGTCAACGGTATACCCGGTTACGATTACACTTCCCCCCTTTTCGAGGAGCGACCAAAAGACAAAACAAAACTTGTTTTGCAGTTGGACTCTTTATTCTCTCTGTTTCAGTAGTGTTCGTGTATGTTTATACCCATCGCTTGAACAACTGACTCGGTACTTAGAAAGGGCGAACCTCTTATTAAATAGCCTGAGTATGTTGTCCTCGATGTTTTTCTTCTTCGCTTGTCACGCATGTGATAAGACTTAATTTCGAAGGAAAATCGTCCCAAAGGTAAATTAAAGTAATTTGCCGCTGCGTTTTCGCTTCGCAGACGATGCAAATTTTGGTGATTTCACGTTGTTGTTTTGCAAAGGACGGCTAAGAAATGTACAAACTTTTAAAACGCCCGTGATGGGCTATTGTTCTGCCAATTAGATCTATCGTTTTTCCATGTTCTCGTTGCCGTAGCCGTCGTGGTTTGCTTAAAGTCCCTAATTGAATCACTGAATTGCAGCAAGCAAAATCATTTCAATCTTTTCGAAATGGTTGACGCGATTTCTTCGTCTGAATCGACAAAACGCACACGGCATCTATGTAAAGCAGAATTTCTTTATTTTTTCTATTTCACTTTTAAATTTTAGATCATGTTTATATAGATTAAAGTAGATTGTAATTGTAATAATAGATTGTAATGATATTATTATTTACCTGATAGATTTACCGTGTCTAAATAAAAATAAAGCTCAAGTTCAAGTTCATTAATGTAACGAAAATAAAGGAATCGAAATGATCACAAACTAAATAAGAAGCTCTTCACTGTTAAACAAGTTCCCCTTGTCAGCACCTTACGAAATATGAAGAGGACAGTCTGGAAAGTATTCATACTGATGTGAGGGTGTAAAGAGCTATCTCAACACTTCTGAGAAAAAGCCTCTTCACTGTACTTAGTGAAGTAACGTTCAAATTATCAGTGTTTTTAAGATATCCAGGTTAAATCTCTATTTTATCATTACTTGTTTTTGGTCAGACATCATGGAACTCAAACGCATGATGGAAAAACTCGGACAAGCGAAGACCCACCTGGAACTGAAGAAAATGATCGCCGAAGTCGATACAACGAACTCAGGTTGGTATTTTAAAAAAAATTAGGTGTTAAGATTCCTTAAAGATCGGTTACCGTCCCTGCACTTCTTAAGCTTGCTTTCCGTGAAAATTAATGTTTTCATTCCACTTGCAGGAACAATTTCGTATTCTGAATTTCTGACAATGATGCTCGGAAAGAAATCAAGTGTTCTTAAATTGTAAGTATTCCGTACATTCGCTTTGACAAAAAAAAAAAAAAAAAACCAAAAAACAAATATTATTTAACTCTTAAGAGAATAATCATCTTGTATTCGAGAGGGATGGGGGATACCCTTTCTTCCTAGTCTCATAACTCACGGACAAGCAGTTGTGCCTACCCTTCATTAAAACGGTAGGATCTTTGAGGTTACCCTCGTCCCACTCCCGCTCAAAGACTGCATATGAAATACTAATGAAATGATGGGGATGCTTACTTTTACCATTTGAGAATGCTGAAATAAATAAATGACGTTCATTGTTATTGTCCTTTCTCTTTACCCATTACAGGATCTTGATGTTTGAAGAAAAGAAGAAAGAGAAGGCAAAACCGACTGGTGTGGCCCCGAAGAGAGACCTGTCAAGCTTACCTTAGGCGTGTAGTGATCAGCCTTACGTTCGGGCGTCACGCAGACAAACCGGTGATAGGGCTGCGAGACTGTCAGATAAAATAGAGCAGTTTGCGTTTCTTTAATTATAGTTTCTCTAAAATTATATTTTTACAACATAAAGGAACCTTCATAATTTTAAGACTCACTTTACAGTGAATTCAGCTCCCTTTTCATCAACCCCAAAGGGCATAAAAATCAAGGGACGTGTCGGAAAAACGTTCGTATATGTAAGTATCGAGAAAGCGTTTAAAAGGAAGTCAAAATTTTATAGCCCGTTTTGAATGCGAATAACGAGTGCCAGTTAAGGAATGAAAATTGAAACTCATTGTGTCAGCATTCATAAACAAATCGTAGAAACATCATAATTATAAATCAGTCTCTTTCTGAGAAAGGGGTGATAATTTGTATTGTTAGCGTGAAGAAAAAACCTCACAAAATCAACGTTATTCCAGCGCGATTTGCAATAACCAGTATATTTTTTACTCCGTCGACGTATGTTAGGTGCACATCTCTCCACAGAAATCGTTTTGAAAAAAATAAATAAAAAGGAAAACAATTCTTCCACAAAAAGGTCAATGAAACGTGTTGAGTAGTTGAGGGGAAGGGGGACTTCAACATTGTCTATCACTGTATCGTTAGCAGCGCCCTTTGTCAATATGAAGCAAATCCTGTGTTCTAATTGACTCGAGACCTCCTGCTGAGATCCCGCCCAAGAAAAACATTGCCTAAAGCGAACTTACAAAGATTTTAATTTTTTGGCGGCAATGGAGTTCCAAAAAGCAAAGAAATCATACATTACTCTCGTGAAGTAATTGTTCTACAAATACAGTTTGCCCTCCCACTCAGTCAATAAGTACATATTATTCTAAGTAGATCCCTTCTTTCGTTCAAGAAGCTAGGGAGGTGCGCTCTTACATTTTTTTGTCATTTAAGTTAATCACTTATTCCATGTTCAACACTTGTTCACACTCGATCAATCTTGGAGACAATAGTAGACAGTAAAGCCCATGAAATGATTAACAAAGTTTTACTGGTTCCTTTGCGCATGCGTGAGAAGCCTGTAGTTCAATTTAGATTCTCCCAATCGCTTTAAAACGGTTCTCAGCGATAGAACAGAATTAAAACCAAGTAAAACGTTCTCTCGAGTACCTACCTTACTCTTGCAATGTAAGAATTTTAATTTTTCGAAAAGACCTTTCATACCATAAGTAAGCGGCAATATGTACTCTAAGATATATAGATGAATGGGAAACCCTTTCTTTAATGCGCGGATGAGCCTCACTGGTGTGGGGTGCAGGCTTCAAACCTGTAGCCGATTAGCGTCGGAGCGGTTCAATTCCGCCTTCTGCGCGGCAACTTTTGTGCGGGAACAGAAGATACTAGGAGAAATCATGAACCTCTATATCTGTATCAGCTGTACGACGTAAAAAAAAAAATCACGTGTGCCTATCTGTAGTTTATTTTATTTCCTTTTTCTTTCATTAATTTTTGTCCTAACCGCCTCCCGGTTAGCTCAATGGATAAAGCACTGGACTGTTGCGCGGGAGGTCGAGGGTTCGAGCCCTGGCCGGACCAACACTCAGGGTCTTAAAATAATTGAGAAGAATATGCTACCTTTCTTTAACATCAAGAAATGATTAGATATTCTAGTCTTCTCGAATAGGGATGAATAAATGGAGGTCCCGTCTCCTCCAGGGTTAGGGGCAGGAGACGTTAATTTCCCACGCCCAAGATTACTGTGTGATGGATGTCCTCCCCTGGGGTGGGATGGTTGGGTAACAGGAGCCCCGTTGATACCAGTGTTTACTACACTGAATGGGCTATCCTGTATAAATATAGATGTCTACTTCTACTACTTCTACTTCTTTTTTTCCTTTCTTCCTTTCAAACCACGCCCTCTATCATGTCAACTTCTCCCCGTCTGGATGCAAGCCTAAACTTTCACCAACCGTTTTCCGTGATTGGATGGATGGATGGATGGATGACCACTCCCCTAGGGGCTTTTCAGGGCCATTCTTACAACCCTGTGCGGGGGACTTTGCCAGACTGCTTGTAGCAGTTTACAACGAATCAAAAGAAGTTGAAAATACCCCCTCCCCCCAATTCCCAGTAAACAGGCCAGACCACATCACAGTAATCTCGTATGTGGGTTCTTTAACGTCCCCTGCCTAACCTAATTAACCAACCAATAGATGCAGGAGACGGGACCTACGGTTTATTCGTCCTTATCCGAGAAGACTAGAATGTCTATCCATTTCATGATATTATAGAAAGGTAGCACATTCTCCTCAGTTATTTTAAGACCTTGAGTATTGATCCGGCCAGAGCTCGAACTCTCGAAAGTAAGTTTCGTGCAGTTATTTGAATTTATTCACTCCATAGCACACTTATTTTCCCTCAATCGCTGCAGAATGAAAACGGCTGCCCTCGGAGGAAAGTTCTAATGTAACACTTCCTCGTTCTGATCTTATTATGATCGTTTTTGAGTGAAGAATCTCTATGGCAGAAGTGCTCGGGTATACTTGTTCAAGTTTGATTGCACATGCCTAAGTGAGCAACAGGAAACAATTTTCTGGGCTTCATAACTCTAGTGCGCCATTTTTCGGTAATTGAAAGAGGTAAACTAATTTTTTTGGCATCTCTGTGGTGTGCACTACAACAATTATTCACCTTGTTGTCGTTGAAAGTGGTGGATATTTACACCCCTATTCACCTCCACTTCGGTGGATAATTATTAACTATAGCTTAATTATGACTTCCAACCCACGAAATAATCCGTCAGAGCATCGCAAATATCATGTTGCAGGGGCGGATCCCATTAACCACTTCCACTTCCACTTCACTTCCACTTCCACTTCCACTATGCTCCAACCGGAGCTAAGGGAATATATATATATATAGGGGCGGATCCCGGATTTTTTCGAGGGGATGCACCACAGCACCACTAAAGAATGGCGTTATTGACTGGTGACCGGACGTAAAGTTAGAAGGGCTAATGCTCCAAACTTCAGTGCCATACTAACATTTTTACGCCGTTTAACTTAAATTCCTCAACCTCGTCTCTTGCTCTACTTCAACACCAATAAACCACATAGTTTCTTTTTTTTTTTTTTTGCAGAATACCACTTGTATTAAAAAGCCGCAAGTCATCTGGGGGGGGGGGATGCGCACCCCCCCTAGATCCACCCCTGTGTCGCTTGGAATTTAGTCACAATGAGTTTATCTGTGTGAATATTATTTTAGACAAAATGAACACTCCGCTAGAAGAACTGTTTAGAACCTTTGTATGCTTTTCATAAACATTACTTTGAAAAAGAGTCTCATATCTTTCACAGATTTTGAATTTAACTCCAACCCGCAAATATACGTACCTCAATGAACTACATGTACTTTGCTTCCCGCGGAGAAAACTGAACTAAAATGTAAGTGACAACTGAGGAACATCTTTCTAATAGAAATCACTATACGAGTACAACGAGTACACATATACTGGAAAAAAAAAGTGTCAGGCCAAAGCTGTTAGATTTTCAATTTGCGTTCCATCAATGTAACGTATTCTTATATAAAAGTCTGTGGAGCCACGTCCATGTAAAGAAACCTAAACGTTGTTCATTTTTCTCATTGTTTCCTCTTACTGCAATTTCCTAGATAGACTTCATTTAGTGGTACTCTGACTGTTAATCATAATCCTGAGCTAAAATAAAATACATTTACTCTTCTATTTATTTTTGAAACACGACCTTCATCTGGAGTTATCTTCTGGCTTCTTTTTACTCTTCACGACGATCGGAACTGTAAACACAACGGAAGGGAAACGAGTCACACAGGGCACCCTTTCAGAGCTCACAGCATAACCAATTTTTTTATATTCCTGTGCCTCCATTATGGCTACCATAAAGAAGTGTGGTTACTAACTGACCCTACAGTTGTATACAGCATAAACCGTAATATATGACGGTTTATGGGGAATTCACCCCATTTTAAGTCCGCCCCCACCACGTTTAAGACTTCGCCCTCTAACTTAAACCAAGTTGCCCCCCCCCATTACCAGTTCTCCCCCAAATCTTTCAACTCTATCCCAAGTTTCTAGAAAGGGCTTCTTTATGAGCCAACAATTATTTCTTATCATTCTAAAGCGATAAACAAAGTACATATTTCGCTATTAATGGCCACTGTAAAAAAAATTAGTTGAAGGATTTGAGGGTGGGGGCAAAGTCGCTTTACGTTGGAAAGGGGGGCACCAAATTGCAAAGTTGATTGTGGCAAAAAGTGTAATGGGACAAATTCACCAGCATTCAGCAGCTACCATTACTAGCAAAACTCACCTATTATTATGATGAGAATTACAATGACAATAAAGGCAAAGATCAACTTGAGCTGAAGTAGAAAATAAATGCACATCAGAAACTATAAAATGGGATGCATTACCACTGTATATGTAGTTTCCAACATCCTCATTTCGCCCTCCCAAGAAGGATGAGGTCTTACAAATCAAAACCATGGGGAAAAGTAAGCTTTCTGGAAAGGTTACATTTTCAACCTGTGAAATCTTCTGTGGCAACGTTGTGGGTATTTCTAATTCCTGGACAATCATTTGTCTGCTGCTCCACATTAATTGCAGTTCATCGCAAATATATTCAGATTTATCATTATAACATAACCAAAGTAAAGCGCGCGCTCTGATTGGTCAATTTAGCGTCCTCCATTTGCCCATGGGTGTACGCTGCTGACGTGAGAAAATGCAAAGACTATTTTTCCGCGCGCGCTTGTTTTTTTCTGGTCACGTAAGATTTGTTAAATAAAAGGGAACTCTTTAGCTACAATGTATCAATGTTATGTTATAAAACAAATGGTAAACACCACAGCGTACACTATTGAGTTATGGATGCACTTGGGAGGTTTGCTAAGCACTCAAGAAGCTAGAGTCGCTCTCGGCTATCGCCTCGAGCGACTCTTACGCTTCTTTCGTGCTTAGCAACCTCCCGCGTGCATCCATAACTCAATAGTGTACGCTGTGGTGTTTACCATTTGTTAAATAGAAAAATGTCCTTAACGCTTTGAATTGTTTGATGCATTATTTTAAAGGTGATCATGCTGAAATACATGCCATCCTTGTCACAAAAGCTCACAGGCTGCCCTTTTCAAAGATGTTAAAAACACTTCAAAAAGGATCAATGGGTGATGTTCTTGAAAGAAAAGAGGGACAAATGTTTGGAAGAATTGTATTTGAAGTACAAAGAGGAACACAAAAGGTAGAAAAGATAAACAACTTCAGACATCCTTGAACAGATCAAAATTGACATTCACTTTGAAAATTCTAACAAAAGAGACTAAGAAGTAACATTCTTGAGGGAGACTAAGGAACTTTAAGCTAGAAAAAGATAAGCATCTGCAGACATTTTCATATATAGGAAAAAAAATGTGAACTCACTCTGAAATTTTGCCACCACATCTTTCTCTGTAGTCTTCTGGACCCAGATCTAAAATGTGATGCACTCATTTCTAGTTCCTCTAACAAAAACAAAAAAATTGTATTAATCAAAACAACACACTAGCCAAGTGGGTCATTCTACAGATTATCTCATTTTCTGTGGCATTAAGCTACTAAGAGCATTGCCGATTCCCCTGGATAAAGTGCTCTAGATGATTGCTGGTAATCCTCCAGCATTTTGCCAGGTTTCCTCAACAGTTCACTGCTTCTGAGTTATACTCCTGTAGAGAGAGGTTAAGATGATACCCAATGCCAATTTGCTGCAATGCAAATTCTCCATACTAGTTTAGAAGGAAATGTGTAGTAGCTTAAGAAGAGAATTAAAAGTCAGACTTAGGAGTTAAAGAGGTTTAGAGTGAAAGGGTTAAAGATCAATCAGTGATGAATTCTTCTAAAAAGATACTAGACCATGATCAAACCACAACCAACTCAGTATTTGGTTTTGTTTTTAGCAGTAAAAAGCCCTTGTGGTCAGTGGTGAGTGACCAAGATGGACGTCTGAAATTAAGCTCCGCTGCTTTAGACTCTTAACAAATTGTTGTCACTGCCTGCCACGACTAGCTTGTGCTACTTGCAGGCAGTGTCAATTATGTAAGGTTTTTCTTTTTCTTTATTTTTCTTGAGTAATTTTTAATCATTGTAACCCCCCACCCTAATGCGAAATAAATTATTATTGTTGTTGTTATTGTTTTTGTCTTAGAAACAAAACTTCCCTTGCCTATATCTTATAAAATAATCCATCGCCCAAGACTGCAGATTTAGGACAGACCTTTCTAATTGGGATATCATGTGCAATTGCCTTTGGTACCACCTGAAGTGATAATATACTGTCTCTAGCCCAAGAACACTACAAAACAACCCACCCATGTCTCAAATGCAGACTCCTGCAAACAAGCCAGTGCCCAGTGCACTAACCATCACATTAACTCACTATGAAAGAAAAAAAAAAGGAAACTTACACTGTACACTAGACTAAAATATTCTGTTGATTGAAACTGATTATTCTTGAGTTTCTTTTTACATTAAGTGTTTGTTTGTTCCTTTTGAGAACCTTGAGTTTCAGGCTTTTCTCAAGTAGAGTGTTGTCTGCTGCATGTAAGCTCATGCAAATTACATCAATCAGGCCTTAAAATCAGCACTCCATGCTTTGTATAGAGAGTAAGTTAAAACATAATTATATTAAAATGACAAACATATGTTTTTCAAAATAGATACAGTGGCTGCATCTCTATTTAATTTACCTGATTTATCTTGAAGGTCTTCTAACTTTGAACCTCTGTCCAGTACTTTTGATATGTTGTCTTGCATTATTCCCATGACACCCTTAATTTCTGATTTCACCTTTGCTATACCATCCTTCACTGTTGGCTGTGGTTTTATGTGATGGAAACCGTCAGGTGCTGCAAATCTTTATGAAATTGTCAACATAATAAGTCAGCAGAAATCATCTTTGAATATCCTATACTTTAACAACAACAACAACAATTTAACATTTATATAGCGCAAACTAATATATAGATAATCAGTCGCGCATTACAATCAGTTAAGGTGAGATGGGATGTCAGAATACATCAGGTGCAATATGCAGCCACTTCAGTCCATGTATTGATCTCACCTTCCCTCTCCAATTCACCCTAGACTAGACACTACACAAAGATAGACCACAACACCGGGCACTACGTGCCCTACTCTTTTCGAAGAGTGTGTGGGTTCTTTAACGTCTCACAATTTTTATCATGTATAAGGGCCTGCGAGACGGGACCTCCATTTATCGTCCCTATCCGAGAAGACTAGAAAGTCTAACCATTTGCAGATATTATTACAAAGGCAGCACTTTCTTCTCAGTTATTTAAAGACCCTGAGTGTTGGTCCGGCCAGAGTCGAACTCTCGACCCCCCGCACAACAGTCCAGCGCTATACCAATTGAGCTAACCGCGAGGCTATTTAAGAAAAAAGCTAGCAAGTTTGGAAAAAAATTTTAGCTGTTAACTAGATGTAGGTCAAATAATTCCTCCTTGAACATTTTCCTAACCCATTTCCTAGCATTCCATTCAAAATGGAAACCAAATAATTTTTCCAAAAAAGTATTTTTCCTGAACAGGGTCCTGAAATCATGAAAGCTGTTGGATATCGTCCTCTGTCAGGTACAATTCAAGCTATTTTTACCATCCTCCTTTACTCAAAGAAGGAGAACAGGCTACAGCCAGAGAGATTTGCACCAAGTGAAACCCTACCATACTGTAATTTAAGTGGATAAAGGGTGATAGTTTCGAAAGAAACTGTTTGGGGCTGCGTCGGTGGGAGTAACAAAATAATTTCGATATATCAACAAAGTTGAAGTGTATATGAGCACGATCCTTCGCAGTAAAGCACTATTTAAGCAATAGTGAAAATCAGACCTGAAAAAAATTTCAGGCCTGTACGGGATTCGAACCACTGACCTCTGCGATACTAGTGCAGCGCTCTACCAATTGAGCTAACAAGCCAACTTGGGAGCAGGCCATCAAATTAATTCGACATAAACCCGTAGATGATAAATCAAACAACAACAAACATATGAAACATATGTGTGAACTGCGGTTATGAGACGTATATGAGCACGATCCTTCGCAGTAAAGCACTATTTAAGCAATAGTGAAAATCAGACCTGAAAAAAATTTCAGGCCTGTACGGGATTCGAACCACTGACCTCTGCGATCACTAGTGCAGCACTCTACTAATTGAGCTAACAAGCCAACTTGGGAGCAGGCCATCAAATTAATTTGCATTAGTATTCCAATGTATCGTAGTTTCTCAGTTATGAGACGCATGGTTCTTTCAAGAAAATTCTGTCTTCGGGTGGAAAGTTAGTGCTGAAATTGAGGGGCATCCTATAGCCAAGTATTTTTGCCCAACAAAATCGTAAGATCACACTTTTAGCAGAACTTACAGTTAAAAAGACAAGAAAAGGACACTTATTGCTGGTCACTGACTTTTTTAGATCTGGTGGTTCTGAAAAGAACCAGGGTGGCTCTGAAAAGAGCCTTTGTGGTGGTTCTGAAAGAACCACTTCTTATACGGCCTCCATCAAATGACCACGAAACAAATCCCACACGAGCAGAGCTTTTTGGACTGAGGTTGAGCAAAGTTTGCATAGAATCCACTCCTTTATTCCTGTGAATTTAAAAGGAATACTGCTTTTAGAACCCTAATCAACTTCCATAAAAAAAGCAAACAAATGGAAATTTGCATACGTGCTTAATAGCACGTGCTCAGTAAGGTGATATCCATGACAACAAAACAATCGTTTGAACCTCATTTCAAATTCCTAGAATCATGTTTATACTGCTCGCTAAAATGGTTCCTTCTCTGAATAAACAATGTGAAGATAAAACCTACCTTCATCCATCCAGCCTCTTTGGCGCATTGAAACTTGCATCCTTTGTGGCATGTTGATATTCAGCTGTCGAACACCTTTGAGTATGACTTTTAGTGGGAGTTTTTCACAATTTGCTTTCACCGCCAGAGCAACCATGAAACTTTCTCAGCTCTACTACATCCTTTTGTTAACTCTCAACCTCTTGGTGCATCTTCTAGTCGAGTATTTTCACTTAGTTTTCAGTTTGGGAACTTGGCTTGACTAAATTGCAAAGTTTGGGGTGCTTCTTATAACCGAGTGCACCTTCTAACCGAGAAACTACGGTAAGTAGCATTACAAATTTAAAGTAAAGTACAAAAATGTAAAAAGAGTGATATAATTAGAGTAAAAAATTTAAATAGGAAAAAATTTAAAAAAGTGAGACCCTTCTGAAATCAAAGTACAGCATACTGTTTGCATGATAGCTTCTATTCCTTTAGTACCCATGGACCTGTACAAGTGGATGTTTTTATGCCCCATACTAGACAGGTTAAGGTTCAACAACCAGAAAAAATATGACCCTCAGGTATTCCTGTTTGAGGGTTTGATGTAGAATAGATGAATGATCATGGGCTACCTATGACTGTGTATCTGATCTCTCCAAACCAGGTTAAGGTAAATGTGTCACTTACATGCTAGATCCATCTTCGTCATCTGAGTCATCAAGTAAGCTGACCTGTGGTGATCCATAAAATAATAATTCAAAAGATTGAAAGCTGAATACAATAAACTCAATCAAACTACATTTAATTTGTATGGGTAATCACATGATTTCAAGTGCAATTTGGAATAAGTAAGCATGAGTAAATTTTTTCAAAGACTAACAAAATTGCCTGAGCTCATAGGGCGAGTGCAATTTGTGGTCTTTGAAAATATTTACAAGTGCTTATTTATTCCAAATTGCACTCGAAATCATGTGATTATGTATTAATAATGTACATGAAAAAATATGAGGTAGCTTCTCATAACTAGGCAGAAGATAAGCGCGCGCATCAGGTGCAAAAATAATTTATTCAAACCCTAGCCTGCAAGTGACATTGACATTGACCAATCATTCTGACCAATCAGAATGCCTGGTTTGTTTCTTTCTTTGCATTAAATTAACCCTCTTCTGCACTGAATTAACTCTCTTCTGCACTGAATTAACTGAAACTGCATTCATCTTAACCAATCAGAACTGAGAAATTTTTTCATGTATATTATTAGGTCTGAAATTGAACCTTGTTGTAAAATATACATTTAAGTACTTATATGAAAGGTATCAAATTTGTTCTTTTCAAGTAAGTCATCAGATATCATGTACCAAAATTAAGCCAGAAGACATGTTTTTAAAGGCCACAGAGCTATCTTTTTGCCCAACAATGTGAAAATGCATTATTTCAGTGTCACATTTCTGGCAATCCTATGCTTCCAAAGACAAGGCTTGAACAAATATTTTAGCAGAATACAGTCATCTATAAATAGACCCCTGCCCTGCCTGGGTAAGAGTAAGTTAATCTGTATGAACAAATCACCAGCCAGCATTTTTGGAAAGATATCTGGAGCACTCTTCGTTTCCATAAACCCCACCCCCACTATTAATTCCCTGAATACAGCCAGGCCTTTCGAAAAGGAAGTGAGCAATCCTTATGGGCACTATAATACAGGATAGGTTTGCTTCTCTTGACAACTCACAATTTTTAACCCTCTTTACTTAAGCAACAAGACCTGAGGAGGTCTGCCTGCTCAAAATATAACCAACAAGATCAACCCAAAAGATGCAAACTAACCTTGCATCATAAGGCTAACAAAGAAATTCCTGGGTTGTCATTCATGGGTGCAAAAGTCAAATATATCTGAGTGTAGCCTTTCCTTTTGGAGTCCTATTTCAGCCAAAATTTGGCAGGGTATTTAAAAACCTACAGGATTTCTTTAGCATGGTATTTTTGAGGAATAAACCTTTCCTTCAAGAAGATTTCACTTTATTATTCCAAATACATTGTGTGCACTTTCATATCGTCAAAATACCAACCTACTATAAATGTTTAAGAACCCATAAATATACTTTTTTGCTCATTTTTTTGCTTTTTACCAATGTACACCAATAGAATGGGTTTGGGCTAAACTACAGAATACCCGGCCACTCATTTACTTGTCATTGAATAAGAATAGCATCTATTGTGTTATGCCTCATTCTTCAAAGCCTCCCGACACATGTAAATGATGTGGACGGGTATTCTGAAGTTCCCGGGTTTGCACTGAATGGGAACCTGTTTCTTCCGGCTTTGTCAGTCGTGACAAACTGACAATGATTATTACTGATCAATACTTAACATCTTTCTTACCCTTTCAGAAGCTCTGGCAGTGGACCTGTCGTCCCCATTGACTCGACTAAACTTGGGAGGCATAGCCTTTTATAGATTTTTATCCAGTTATTTGTGTTTCCTTGTTATTTCATGTGAACGTCATCAGATGAATCGTGATGTTTGACGCACGTTTACACGTGGCAACACATTTCAATTTCCTCACAAAGTCACGAGAACGAACCAATTACGATTTGAAACAACTTGGTAAGTTGGGATTTTTAGTTTCTTTTCCCCTCTCGGTAGCCTGACCCAAAATTGAATATATTCGTGAACAAATCCGATAGCGTTCACGGAGTTAACCACAAATTTCTCAATGTACAAGGAGGGCTGTGTAACCTCTCCGTTGTTCTTAGTTTTCTGGGGGAGGGGACTGCTGCTCATGGTTTTTCACCATTTAGAAGTCTTTATACCCTCCTTTTTACACATAAAAAAATATAAATATAGTTAAAAAATATAAACTCAAAGTGACAACAAAGTAATCAAGAGGAGGATAACACAGGATTTCTCCAAAATATCGCGTTACTTTCTAGCCCCCCGACAAATTTGCTTTCTTTCGTTGTTCATTGTTGAATATCGCGGGCTCATACACCTAATCGGCCGGCGATCGACCGTTCCGGCGATAAAGAATCGTTTTACAAATGGTTCACGTAATAGAAGATGCGGTACATCAACCCATTTTGAAGAACCGTGGACGCAAGAAAACGATGGAGTCTAACAATGTTCACCAAACGAAGAACAATTTGGTTGAATGTAAATCAAAAGAAAAGAGAGAAGTGCCTCCAAAAGAAAGTTACAGGCGTGAACTGAGCACAAGCCAGTTGAGCTTGATCGAAAATCTTTACAACTATGACATCACATTGTCAAGGAATCTAAGCATTTGTGCGGACAAAGAATCGGGTAGAGGGAGATCGCTGATGATTCTTCTCGAAATTAGTGGACACGGAGTTCCGTGGATTGTTGGTACGGTCTTTTCTGTGATATTTTTCTCAGGTGTAAAACAAGAATTCGCTTGTAATTTGCTTCTTGCATTGATGTTCGATCTAGTCATAGTTGGAGGCTTAAAAGTTATTGTGCGACGAAAAAGACCAGTATACAACCATGAAGACATGTTTGCTACAGTATCTGTGGACAATTACTCATTTCCTTCTGGTCATTCAACGCGAGCTGCCATGGTTGCAGGTTTATTTGCAATGTTCATGGAAAATGGAGTTTGGAGAATTCTGATTGGTTGTTGGGGCCTGTGCGTGTCCGTGTCTCGTATTATACTTGGCAGACATCACGTGAGTGATGTGTTCTGTGGTGTTTTGATTGGTTTGTTACAGTGCTGGACTATTTGCACCATTTGGTTGGCATCCAAGACTTGCCAGGAACTCTTGACACTTATACCATATTTCTATGAACTAAGGAAGCAAGTTCATGTGCTATTTCAGAATTGATGATTTCAGACATTAACAGAAAATAAAGACTACACTGTCTTTAGCTGATCTTGCATCTACCCAACAGGAAGAGTATCTGTGTTGGAAGATCCAAGTAGACTCAGTAATTTATTTATAATGCTTTCAAAAGGATTTTTCATGTATATTGAACTTTCTAATTCCATTAAATTTTGTTCATGACTTGTCTATAATCTACAGCAAGGCTTTATATTGGAGGGTTAAGCTAAGTTCACTAGTTTATTGTTTGAAATAAGTTGAAAATTGTTCCTACTTCACATTACAAAAAATATGTTACATCTTCATCTAATGGTATAACATATATGCAAGATCTCAGTGGCACTAAAACATGTGCTGCAAAGCCTCAATAGACAAGCCCCCCTCTGGCATAACCACTCCTACTACAACTCCTTCACTAGCCTGATCACAGGCTATCCACCACAAAACAAAATTAATCTAGGACATGGTCTGGATAACAGTGATAAGCCACCATTTCTGTAATAATGCTGGGAATTCTCTTATTAAGCTTAAGTACCAGATCTGCAATAATCATTTACATCGATGAACTATTATTCCACATGGACAAGTAAAGGTAAGCTGTCAAAAAAAAAGGCATAGACCAAATCTTATCGCAAGAATGTTAAGAGATTCAAAATGAATCATTGGCTAATGTAAGACTGAAAAAAGACACATATATTAGTGGTGGCAATGAAGAGATGAGGTATGAGAGCAGCTCTGATGAAATGTCTCAAAATGAATTACAGTAATGGACTACAGTTCCTCAACTGAACACCCTGGCACTTATTAAATATTTTTGCTAAAAGGAGGGGCACTTATTAGAAGGAGGGACACTTGTCGAAAAGAGGATGCTCACTCAGAGAGGGCACTTGTGAAGTAAGCCCAGCACTAGAGAACGAATTAAAATAACAGATAAAGCATGTAAAGGAACTCCTGAAGGAACATGGAGATAGAAATAACTGGAATAGAAAAGGAAATATTCTCCTATACTGATTCTGCCATAGTTGAAGCTTAAAAAGTTAAAAATAAAGTTGTAATTGTAACAGTCCCTACTATTTTAGAAAGAAAGGAGGGGAGGATGGCACTTACTTGAGAGGGGTCCTTGTTTACCAGAAAAACATTTTATTCTATTTCACTCGATTACAAGACCAAACCTTAAGCGAACCACACTCTCCAAGGAATGAAGAAAACTTGATACGAACATAATGCTAAACTATAACTAATATATACGAAAAATGGTCAATCGCAAATAGCATAAAAGGATCTCGTAGTGCAAAGAATTCTAATGAACGCCATGATCCTACTGATCAACGCGATTGTCTCCTCTTCACACACCAATTAGCGCAATTGTCTCCTGCTCAGTGCTTGTTTGACATTTTCGTCAAAGGGTGGGTGCTTATTCAGGGGAGGGCACTTCAACAGGGCATGGGGGCTTATTCAAGGAAACATGATATTTAAATCATTCTCATTTTGTCACAGTTGCAAAATCATTGCAAGAAGAAAAAGGAGTCTCTCGCTTGCAGAACCTCTCCCCACCTCTTCCACCTTCCCCCCACCCTCCCTGTTGTATGTGCTTGGGAGGTGAAGAATTTGAACCGGAAATGTCCAGTCTTTCCAATAGAAAACAGGTGTTCAATCTTTAAATAAGGAGGTGTTAATAGTTCACTTTACCGAAGAAGAAAAGGTCTACAAAGTCTAGGTTTTAAAGCTTGGCCAATTTGTAGAAAGTCACGGTCGCTGAATCAACTTTCTACCAAAAAATGTGCATGGGGCATTTGAACACCGTTTTTTGCTCCTGGGGGCGGGAATTTTAATAAACCACCCTTCAACAGTTCAAATGCCCAGGGGAGGCCTCACAGAAGGGATGTTGAAGCTTCGAATTGATCCGGACCGGCGCATTATCGTATTATTCTTTCGTGCTTAAGCTCCCTAATAACCCAGGAAAAGTTTGTAAATCACAAGGCGCACCAATATAGTGCCGTCTACTGCTTCAATATAATGAACGAAAAAGAAATTATATAAACAGTTTGTGACAATTTTCTACGGGTTTACCAGAGTAATAAAAAGTAGGTTTTTGACCCAGCAATCGGGCACTCGAAGTATCGCTGTTTTTTTTTTTTTTTTTTTTTTTTTATTTTTCTCTCAAAGCCAGAAGCCACAAAAATGTCTAGATGTTAACTTTACCACGAAAAGTCTAAATACAAAGGCCTAGGCCTGAAAAAAAGAAGGCAGTATTACGAACTATTTAAAAAACGAGCAGCAGTGTTTTATCAGGTTTAAAAACACGAGGCGTAGCCGAGTGTTTTAAGACCCGATAAAACACGTGCTCCGAGTTTTTTAAATAGCTTCAAAGACCGCGCCTCTCTAGGGATTTTTCTAAACGTGATTTGAATGCATTAAAAGCTAATTACAAACAGAGGGGAAAAGTGCTCTTTGTTCGGCTGCTGTTAAAGTTGAGAAAGCTTTTTCTCGTTCTGTCCTGGTGTACCGGTTCACAAGGGAATTACCATTGTTCTTTCTTTGTTTAGGAGTCATTGGTTAGCTGTTGTGTGGTGTTCGGTCTTTTGTAACAGCTCTTGTGAACCGGTACACGAGGACAGAACCCTTTTTCTTAAAATGCCGCCCAAACGCGTGTTTCAAGAAACAAAAAATGCGAAGGAAGAGAAAGATTACTTGGATAGTTGTGTTCCAAGGGCTACTCGGTATGCCACAAAGTGGGCTTACAAAATTTTTGACGAGTGGCAAAGTTCAAGAAGAAATAAGGACGCCAACTTGGAAGAAATAGGATTTAGAGTTGAAGTTGAGAGTATTCAAAACTGCACAATTAATTTTGCGAACAATGGGAAATTGTAAAAGAACGAATTTCTGTTCTAACAAGAATTTATCAGGAAAATAAACTTTGTTGTTTACTGCGGTTACTGTTTTTGTATGCTGCCTTTTGGGGAATAATTTGGTATTATAATTAACGTGATCTTTATTAACGATCACAGTAATCATATTTCATTAATAATTCAGTGATGATTTCGTTGTTTATGAATTGTACCCCGATTTCCCCCGAGACAGAAATCAAAACCCTCTGTGGGGCTTTTCAGAATGATCATTCTATACCGGTTATAAAGGTTCATACACGTGATCGATTTGCCTCGTGTGATAGGCTAATCAGCTCATGAATTATTAATGAGTTTTTGAAATACATTTAATGATATCTTGATTCTTGTTCTATTTCACTGCTCGTTGTTGAATATTCATCAGGATCTTCGATAGTGCTCGTTTCGACTTGAGGACTTGGCAAAAAAAGTTGCTTGGAAGGACTCGGAGAAAAGTATCCAGAGTCTACAACATGGTAATCATCATCATGAATTCAAAGACTGAGATAGTCATCGATTGCTCGTTTTGTTTTTCTCGAGATAACTGCAAGGTCAATCAACCATGTTATCTCAGTTGTTATGGAAAGCAGATCTTCTGTAGATTTCAAACTTCTTATTTGGATGGGATGAACACCCTTTGAAAGAAAACCACTTTGTTTTTAGAAAGCCCAGCCAAAATAAAATGGCATGCGTCGGACAAAATACTGAAATGGAAAAAGTTCGGTCTTCTGCTGCAAGAAGCAGGAGTTGAACGATTAGCTGCGCCACAGATTGATCTTTATCGCAACCTTGTCGTTTAGCTTCGACAACACCAATCGGTTGGTCGCCACAGAACATAATGTAATCAATTCTATTCTTGGGAAGAGAACTGCAATTTATGCTTTGCTCATATCGAAGATTAAGTTCCTTGGCGATACAAAGCGGCTGAAGGATTGCGTCGATAATCATCCTTGAATCGCTTCTGTGCGGTCATTGAACAGTGTAAGGTTTTCATCAATTCCTCTCCCCCAATTGCCACATAGGGCTGACAGTGACTGTGCAACGTTTCCGACGGTGGTTTCCTCCAATGCTGAAATATGAAAAAGAGACTGCCTAGACGCAGGTTGAATGATGACAATGTCCTCATACTTTATGTATTTTTGTATTTTTACATTTTAATTTTAATCGTCCAAGTCAACCCCGAGGTGTCACAGTTAGACTTGCCATTCGAGGCTTTCTAATAGCGTTTTCACCTAGTTTTCAGACTTCAAAATCCATATTGACTGTATTCACTCCCTTCACGACATTTCCACAAGCTCTTGAGGGCGTCCTCAGCCGAATAAACGTCCTTCTTTCTCTCTTTCGTATTCTGATCATTTTGTGTTTCAAGATCAGCCGCGAACCTCTTTACGAGAGAAGGCGGATCATCGTATTCATTAGATGGCTCAACATTTCGGATAGATAGTTGGATAGTTTATTTATTTGAAAAAAATTGCAACCAAAGGTTGAATTATATATTCATTTACAAATTTAAGAAATGTATAAGAAATGGTAACATACTTTTAAAATATTTCTGGAAGAGGAACCCCGTGTTGGACCAATAAAATGCAAAGGCATCAAGAAGGTTACTCAAGATCAATCGTCTGCCATGTGAAAATCCACCCAGACTGATGTCTTTGTGATATAAATAATAATATACCAAGTTCCTGGTCACTCAGTTGCTAGCTTGAACGATCAAAATGTGGCTGGCCGCTTAAGGTAGTGAAGGCAAGGTAGTTTCAAAAACGAAGACCCCGAAAACGAAGACCTAAGACCCCCTACGAAAAGCAAGACCTACGAAAACGAAGACCAATTACGAAAACGAAGACCCAATAGAAGCACCACTTTTTCAGTTCTCTTGATTTTGTAGTCTGTTATTTTGTATCGACTAGCAGAAAAGAGTGCGCCCGGAAATTGCGGCTCGGTGGATACGTTGCGTGCCAGTTTAAGCGCAGGGTGGTTGACCCTTTGCACACTAAGTGGACACGTATGTCTAGATAATACCGTTACTACTTTTGATACTTGTTTCTTGTTGAACTCAAGAAACAACATTATGTATGTGTGTAAATTGTGCCGGCTGGTTGATATGACACCTATTGCAACCTAAAACGCTCACAATGATTCCTGATTTTCATTGCAGTGAACCGTTCGTATGGCAAGAAATCCCAAAGTCCAGCATTTTTGCTCCAAGAGCAACACCAAAAACGTGTCAATCTTTTAAGATAAAAACTTGCTAAAAAAATCAACAGTTTGCGTTAAAATCACACTTCAGGGCCAGATATTGTAGTTTGGCTAGAAAATTCCTTCTCACTTTATCTGCCAGCCCTTGTTTCTCCATTTGATAAAAGCCAGTGTCGCGAAAACAACTGTTGCCTTGTTCATGCCCGAAAAGAATTCTGGGCAATTCCGCCATAACTCGAAAAGGCAACTCTTATCATTTCCATCCGCCATAACTCGAAAAGGCAACTCTTATCATTTCCATTTCAAAGAATTGTTATCATTTCAAAGAATTGTTATGTCAGGCCATCCAGTCCTACCAGCAAAATATCGCATCAACTGAAATTTTTACCAATCAAAACTTGGCCGCATAGCCTTGGTAGGTCCTGGAAGCAATCCACAGATGGGCCAGAGAGACAACTTCACTTGTGAACTCGCCAAGCTGGCAGTAAAGCATCATTGGCGGTCCAGTCTACATGAAACCATCTCTCACCTATGTTTCGTTCAGAGACTTGCGTCTACACACATTCCAGCTTAATGATGCCGACATGGGAGCTTCTGTAGAGGGAAATGGCTCGAAAAACACTTATAAACCTGGGTTTATAAGTGACATATTATGTGGTGAGCGAAAGTGAAAGTGTAACCTAGTAGCTCGAGCCTGCACACGAACCTGATATGACGGAAGAAGTTTCAGTGTCATCACTTGTTCCCAAGCCTCCACAATTTTTTCTCAAAAATACAATTTATTTTCTCAAATATTAGCTAGAAGTCGATGAAGTTGTCCTTTTTTATCTGTCTTTTTCAACGTAACACGAAGCATTAAAGATGAGAAATACACAACCTGTTTGACTTTTCTAGGAAATCTGCAAGTTAAGATCTTTTGATCATTGTCTGACTACTGATGATACTTAATTGGGCCCTCCATGTTAATTCATAGACGCTTTCGTGCATTCAAAATTAATCCAAAGTTATAGGTAGTGTTAGTATTGTAATAATTGTATGAAATAGATTGTAAGCAGCTCATTTTTAGTGATGTTTTGTACGACAGTTTATGTATTGTGAGTAATCTATGCTGTTGTAAAAAGAAAAACAATTACCAAAACCCAAAATAATTAGATTAAGAATTGACTCTCTAGTGAGAGTTGTGGAACTCTTTTAAGATTCAGTCTCTTTAACTCTTAAACATTCTACGAAGGCTAAAAAAGAACGGTACCCACTATCTTAATCGTAAACAAATTAAAGTTGCACAGAGTTGCTTCAAAATGTCCAGTCAATTATTCCTTGAAAAAAATGAAACATTTTATGCCGTTATATATTCTTTTTCACAGTAAATTGGTCTTTTAAGAAGCCTGATATTGTCCACAGTCCCCCAGACCGTCTTTCCGTTGCCAATTTCAACTCCGTACCAGGTAAAATATTTCTTCGTCACTATGCCTTGGGAAAAGCCGACCTTGTCCGAGGAAGCTACGATGACTTCCGACCCAATGCGTATCTCTTGTGAACTGGATTTTCTATCGTTGATAACGTAAAATTCCTTTTCTCTCGGTAATTCAAAGATACTGTTTGCGTTTCCGCCATGTTTACCCGAGGGAGATACATCGACACTAGTTTGGCGAACCTTCGTAACGTAGCCATGAATGTAGCGTGTATGTTTCTTGACGGAATTCCAGTGAGCAAATACTTCAGAACCGAAGGTAAGACAGTCTAAAGTAGGACAAGGATACGGTTATTAAGTAAAATGAGAATGTTGGCTAGGCACATTTAATTCACAATTTGTGTTGTCTATTCATATCGGTTCAAGAGATTCTCAAGCCTAACTTAAGTTACAGTTGATAGCTGTAAATACTCAATGCCGACAAGCAGTGGTGAATTTGTGAACTATGTAGACGTTTCCCTTAGTTGTCACCGGCTGTCGCGTTCATTTTACGCTTCATTCTTACATTCCATCAAACGCTTTTATTTCCTTCGCGCCTTTCATATCATGTAGATTTCTTGTTCACGGTTCCCTTTTACTGCTAGGACTGCTCTTGGTCCATCACAAGTGTTACGCAAGAAACTACTTATAACAATGAAATATTCACCTGTTTCGAAGGAACATCCATACACCTCGGCCCTCAAGCACACAGTGGACCCCATAAAGTCTCGCGAGTTCTCGTGGCGTAGTATTCTCAATTTTTTTGCCACCAGCCGCTCCTTTAAATAGTGTCTGACAATGCTGCTGCCATCCTTGTTTCCATTAAACACCTTTCCACGAGGAAAATAAAATTGTTAAAAACAAATTTGGAGGAACCACCATGCGATTTTATCCTTATTGTGATAGGACTGAGACTCGATCCGAAACATTTCATGCTTATTGCATGACTACTTATAAAAACCGCGTCGACAAAGCAATAGAAAGAAAGCAATTAATGTTCTATTACTTTATCACGCCGTGATTCCTGGTAAGTGAACCAATTCTTCCCCAGTGAATATCTCAGTACGTATCTCTGCATCCATTTGTCTTCTCTCGGATGTCCTTGAGTGGCAACAGACGTCACCTCAACTGTGCGGCCAAAATCGATCTACAAAAGAGAGGATTAAAGTTAAACATTTGGTTTTTGGGTGAAGAGACATTCCCGTGACTAGAAGGGGTGTCCGTTCACAGACATTGGGACCACGTCTTGGTGCAAGCTTTTGAGAATTGTCCCTTTGTGGAGGCTCAGCCGTATATTCGAATTTCGAAATACATTGTCACATTATATTGTGTCATTTAGAGGAAATATAAAGAGATTTTAAGACAACAGAAACTTACAGTCATGGTTGGCAGGGAAAGACAATCACCACGGGTTAAGAGTAGACCAGAAGGAAAAGGATGGTAAAGAGAAACTCGAATGGCAGTTAATGGCTACATTCGTCCCCAGGAAAGAACCAATAGTGACTCTTTCAAGTTCATGGCATTTGTTCTTTAAAACGGATGTCACTTTTAACCTCTACGTAGAAATGTATCCTTGCTTTACAAAAATATTCTCGCAGAAATAGTGACTGTTTAGTTGAGAATAGCAATAGTAATAAGTTTATTGAACACTCCCTAAAAAGTTTTTTCAGTGAACAGTACAATACATTAAGAATAAAAGATGTACATGTATAGTAAAAAATATAAAACTATATGTTAAAACTATTTTGTTGTAAGAAAATCATTCAACATCCTAGATTTTAAAGAGTTCTTAAAGTTAGTAAGGTCTTTACACAGTTTTAAATCACTGTCTAACGAGTTCCATAATTTTACCATCTTGTAGTGAAATGATCTCTGACCAGCAGTGGTTTTAAATAAAGGAATATTAAGTTGTTGGGAGTTTCTTGTTATTCGGTGAGATATCTGCCTTCTTGTGGCAAACTCAGTGTGACATCAGATAGGTCGGGGCACGGCCGTCATGCACCTGAATGCGAGAATAGCATTTCGGAAGTAAACCTGCTTTCTTACAGGGAGCCACTCCAATTTCTTAAGTGATGGGGTCATGTGTTCCAATTTCTTTACACCACTAACTATCCGAGCTGCGAACTGAGTTCTGAACAAGTTGTAGTTTTTGCATATTACTGGCAGCGGTGTTAGACGAGACTGAAGAGCAATAGTATAATTAGCCGAAAACAAGCGCATTTATGATGATCACTAATAGGTTAGAGTTAAATGCGTGCTTTGCCCGATTGATCTGAGCTAATATACTCCTGCAAGATGAGACTGTCACTGAGATGTGGTTGTTAAATGACAAAGTAGGGTCGAATGTTAACCCAAGATCCTTGACGGACTCTGAGGGCGTGAGTTCCTTTCCGAGCAACGAAAGCTTAAAATCGGGCAATCTACGACTCATCGGGCGGCTACTAAAGAGCATGAGCTTTGTATTTTCAGGGTTGAGCCGAAGACAAATATCAAAAGACCAATTTTGGATTAGATGGAAATCATTATGGATAATGTCCTTTGCTTTAACAGCATAGTTTTTACGAACCTGAAAATATTTAGCAAAGCTGCTTCTCGCAGAACACCAAGCGCTGTTACCATCAAGACGGCCATGTCGGGCAGTATGACGCGAATCTCGCTCAGATGACGCTGACAGCTGGCGGCTGAAGATCATTCTACTTTTTAAACCAAGAGGTTTGGAACATCCTGTCCATATCAGAGATTTTTCAAAAATTAATTCAATGCGGGTATTGATGGAAAAAAATGAAAGAAACCGTTATGCCTTTTCGAACAGAAGAAAGAAGCTTTTAACGGGGAGCATGTTACGAACGAGAACAATCGGAAAAAATGGCAGGGCTTCACTAAGATCTTAAAGCAAATGCATGCGTCCCAAAGATCTTAAAGCAAATGCATAAAACCGGCCCTTAGTTTAGCATCTGTTTTTTTTTTTTTTTATAGGAATGGTGTGAGTTTTTAAGACCAGTTAATGAGCGAGCGAACCACAACCGATACAATTTCAAGTTATTTCAGACACAATTAACGCCGTCCATTCGGAAGAGGCAACCTTCGTGAATGCCAATAACGAACACGTTTTGCGTTTTGATAAAGACAGTTTCAACATCCACACAAGAGGACTTAATAATTGAACGAACGCAATAAGAGCGGGTGATCAAAACAACATTTCTAGTGAGGAATACTGAATTCGTTACTTAGAGATTGGGACGTAAAGAATGAGCACTAAAAAATTCCAATCAACGTACCCTTACAAGTGGGTGGTGCATGACTCCAGTTACCATGAATCAAGCATTTCGTCCTTTCATGACCACGAAGAGAGTATCCATTATTGCACAGGTACCCCACTACATTTTCAAAGTAGTACTTGCGTCGAGACTCTGACTTAAACTTCCCGTGCAATGGCTGGCTTGGAGCATCACAACTTCGCACTAAGACGAGGAAATGTAAATATATCATGGTTACATTTTCATCGATCATTTCATCGCAAGAACATAGATGACAAAGTAACTAAATCTAAACGCAGACGATACACAATCGTTACTGTTCCGCTGAATATGCCCACCCACAGGAAATCCTAACTTTAACGATCGGCTCTTCTGAATTTGACAGGTTAATATTTTTGTGAGTGCCGTTTTGCTGTATCGACTACGGAAAACATTTTCTTCGCAACTGTTTTCATAGTATTACAGTCGTGAGCTACTGCTAAGGGATGAATAGGTTTTTGATTGCGTCGAACTTGACGTTTGCGACAAAGCTTTACACTGAAAACTGCAAAATATTCCTTTTGCCCTTGTTTTGAAAACTTGAGTGTCTCTACTTTAGCAGGAACAATAGACATATTGAAAAATCACTAGTAAGGAAAATTATCCAAAAAAATCTTGCCACAGAAAAATATCTCCAGTAAATGAGGATAAAAGAATAGTTTTTATGGCAAATTCTTCTGAAATCAATGTGCTGCCGCCATAAAAGGTGCTATCAAGGTCTCGCTTAGTCGTTGGGTTAAAAAAGACAAAGGGTATTGAAGTAAGAGAAGTTTAATAAGAGGGATGATAAATTCTTAGTTATGTCGTCTAAAGACTGTAACCAGAAAATTGGATTCCTCATGGATCACTTCCACAATGGCGGTTATGATTATTATTCTTTTGAGCGCATTTAAGCAAGCCTTGTTGGCTTCGCTTTTAAGAGATAATGGCATGTTTTTAAACTTGTCGTCGAAGAAAGAAAAAGTAATTTTTATAAATTGAAAAGGTACCGACAAGGCCCGCAGTTTAGGATTTTTCACTGCCTCACGCTCGTGAAAATCGTTCCCAAGCTTTCTTTAGTATGAAAGGTTTACAACAGTGGGATATATGAAACCTACACTTGCAGACTGGTTGTACTCCGCTCCATGTGGCGTTAGCTAGGCATCGTCTCTCTTTAGACCCCGCCATGAGGTAGCCCTTGTCTTCATCACACTCGAACACGTATACTGCTCCAAAAGTGTTTCCTGTCTTCTTCGTGATGCCACCGTTCAAGGGGCTGCCTAACAAACCGCAATCAACAGCTACAACAAGGAGAGAAAGGAAATTCGTTAAACTTCCCCTATTCATCCCATATCAATTTGTGCAAGTTGTTCGACTCGTGGTCTTTATTGAAGGCAGCGGCTTCTTCCCTCTTTCGAGTGAGGAGACATTGCATGAAGTATGCAAGCTGGTAAGTGGGTCTCTCGATCTTTTTGTAAGGTCACTTTCATACCTGCTGAGATTTACACTGTAAAATATTATCGTTTGTGTCTCTGATTGGACAAACGATGTATTTTCATGGTCAATCGCTTCCTACCTTTGAATTGAAATGTGAAAAAATCTCAGTATGTATATATAAAAAAAAGACATCATACCGTGGAAAGTGCTTAAGCGATTTTCATCCACTTGTTGCGATGCATCAAAAAAACTCACTCTTCGCTTTTATAATGCATCGCAACTCGTGAACAGAATCATTCGTACGCACTTTATATAGAATAATCCCTATCTGCATTAGAGACTTTGAGGGTAGTTTACTCCACACTCCTCGCCAAGTCACTATTGTACAAAACTTGGTAAACAACGAATGATTTCCGCTCTTTTTGTAAACAAGAATCAGAGACGGTTAACCATTTATTTGTTGGTGATCCTTTTCCAATTCGGTCTCTATGAGCTTTGAACCACACCTTTTTTCATTTGAAGAAACAGCAATTTCACCTTACTTCAAAGTATATATAGTCAGTGAGTGTGGTGCATTCGTGGGGAAAGGGGAGGGGGGTGTGACTAGCCTTCCTAACCCCATTTACACAGGAAAAACTCGTTTAGTAAAACCGGTTTTAACTAAATGCAAATCAGAGACAAGGAACTGAAAAACTAAATTTTCCGTAGGTTTCAAGTTTTCACTAACTTTCATTTCCCGTGGGCTATATTTAAAGTCGACAGAAAAAATAAATTTTGAACCGAGTTTAACAAAACAGCTTTAAAACGTGTCTAAGCTTTGGCGTAAATGGGATTCCTGACTGTGTGGGGAAATATGTTAACCCTTCAACTCCCAGATATGATTAACCTGTAACTTCTCCCCATAAAATCCATACATTATCCAGCAAATAGGTAATGAGAATACTCAAGCTTGTCAGGTAGAAATTGTTACTTTGATCTAGCACAACTTTGTTCCCAGGGTCTCTCATCTTACCGCTCCATGGAGCTCGCTCCGGGGGTGCGGGAAGATGAGAGACCCTGGGAGCGAGGTTGGATCTAGGACCAAATTCTGGTAATTTATTCGCGGGGAAATGTGTAGCAGCTAGAGGGGAGAATTAACAATCAGATCTTGGGAGTGAAAGCGGTTAGAGTGTAGATACCTTTGCAAGTAAAGTCGATTTGTGTCCAGCCGTTGTCTTTACAGTCGATATAAGGAATTCCCACAAGCTCATAACCAACTCGACAACTGTAGTATACAGTCTCGCCGTTGAGGTATTTACTCCGTGCACCACGAGCCCAAGTAAGGTAGGCAAATTTTGGAATTGGGGGAGCATCACAGTTTGGCGCTAAAAGTAAACAAAAGAAATTCGAAATTATCTCGAAACTCCCAGCAAATGCAGTTGATGCTGCACGGCGAGCTAAAGTAACAAACGTTCGCCGCCGACACGAATGTTTAAATAGGAGTTTGTTTGTCAGGATGTTTTAAAAGACGGCACTTCTAAATGGTGGTTTCGAGTAGAACAAAGCAATAAGAATGTCAGTCAAGAAAGGTCCTATTATTGAATTTTACTTTAGTTACTTTTTGCACCTTACTGTAATCATCGACAGGTGTTATCATTAAACAAAGATTAACTGGTTGCAGATTTCAAAAATCATGGAGGTATCACATAAGTTTGGTCACGGTTGATATCATTTAACCAAAAAGCACTGTTAAGAAAATTTAAAATATGTTTTCCGCGACATTTCGAAGTAAAGTCACTCGCATTTCAGACAATCTGGGCCAATTGCTAGATCCTAATTTACCATAATGCTTTCAATGGAGGGCGAAAAGCCAGTGCTTTCGTTGCTGTCCTAATACACACAGACTGACAATACTTACCGCTGCAGTGGAAATTAGCTTTTGTCCAGCGACCCTTTACACACTTTCTCATCGGAGTGCCGATCATCATGAGGCCTGCTTTACAGCTGTAGTAGATACGTTCTCCGTCTTCGTAACGATCTCTCTCAGCTCTCCATGTCTGGTATGCAAATGCAGGGATATCTGGAGCCTGGTTACACCAGTGAGCTGTTCAAAGAGAGAGGACATAACTTTGATCAATCGATATTTATTTACTGTCCATCGGAGTAATACCTTTGTTCTAGATACAGCAGTGCGAGAAAAGAAATAGATGAGTAAAAAAGACAGGGGGGAATACTTTCTATAAAAGTACGAAATCGTAATTGAATTGTACATGATTAAGTGAAGACAGAACAAAAAATCTGTAGAGAGCGATGAGACCCAGTCGTCGGAAAAGTTACGACCAAAAGTCAGTTAACAAAACGAAGGTGAAACAGCTTTAACATGACGCAAAACCGTGAATAACTGCTTTTCTGGCTTCTTCTAGTTTTTAATTCCAAAGTATTTTGTGAAAGCAACGAAAAAAAGATGTGGCAGAGCGGCTCAATACCAAGATCACTCTTACTAAGATTACAATTTAGGAGGCAGTGTGGCCGAGTGGTTAGAGTGTCGGACTTGTAATCCGCCGCTCCCGGGTCCGAGTCCCACCCTGACCACTGGATCTGTTTCACGGTAGCCCCGAGTTCAGATCCTTGGCCACGCTTGTAAATAGCCAACTGGTTTGCCTCCGGCCGGTTGGGGTTCTTAATCATGTTATGTTCAATTTAGACCATTTGTTTCATTTGTTTGCAAGGACCACAATGGAAACTACTGGTTCACCAGTAATTGTGTAATCCTATAGAAAGACTTTTTTTTTTTTTTCTTTTTTCAATTTGAAGATTACTATTATGATTGGGAGCTGGTCCTCAAGATTCCCTACAAAACCACTTTAGAGAACGCCCCAAGAAACCCTATATATGTAACGCCAATTTTTTTGGAAATTGGAATTTTGTATTCGGAAATGAGAGGTTTTTTTTAGCATATTCCGTATCTCTCTGCTTATCGAAAAATTTCATTTGCAGCCAAATCAAATCCCTTTAGGCAAAACACTGGATTTTTATTTAGGAGAATAAGAACGATGATTTGGTATGTTTCATGAGAATCTTGCTCGATGAGATCTGGACCCCCATTTTGATTGATCGTAAGGCAATGCAAGATATCTTACAAAGGCATTTTGGTTGTTGACCACTCCATGAACCATTCCTCAAGCAAGTTCTTTCAGTGGACCCTTCTAAACTGTACCCATGTGCACAACTGAACACTATCACACTGGGGTGAGATGTGTCAGAACCAAACATCCAACCATTTTCAGGAGGTAACAGTTTACCACAATCTTCTCCTACAAATAAGAGTATGCAGTTGATAACAAAAACTGGACACAAATGGAGCAATTTCCAATTGAACGTGGAAAATAATCCGGCACTATATATATTTTGTTCTTGCTCTTGTATGTGGATTTTTTTTCTTCTTAACTCGCTGTTATTGGTGTGAATAAGTGTCTCCACACTCTTAGGCAATCTGTCTTTTAAGCATTCTCGTCTTGCCGCATTAAGGCCGTTTGTATATATCTACATCGAGCTTTCATTTACCTTATTTTATAGTCGGTCTTTGTTTTAACTTTGGTTTAAGCCGCTTTACGATTCGAATCAAAAAGCACTGCATCAGGAAAAACACCTCATAGAAGCTAGCTTACCTACTTACGCTTGAAAGGCTGCCAAGTCGGGTGATATTGCAACAACTACCCGCGATTGGCATCAACTGCATTCATCTTAATTTTGTGCAGGTTAATCCTCTCATCTCACAGACTGCTAGAAGACACTACATGTACCATACTTCGAAAAAGCTGTGATACACTGAAAGGAAAAAAATACCGTGCCTTGGCAATGCGTTTCTCCACTCGTCCATGTCCCGTCTGCTTGGCATGTTCGAGACGATGCCCCGTGTAAGGAGAATCCTGTGTTACAACTAAAGGTGATCGTATTGGGATATGCTGTAGAGTTACCATGGGCAACGCCATGTTCAGGAGCAGCCAAAGGACCACAATCAACCGCTGGAAGAAATAAAGTTCTCAATCAACGGAGAGCTCAACTAATCTCCACAAGCACGGGGTCGAATAAAGGCGTCGTTATTTATAGCCCACGCTGGCTGTATCCAATGGAACATTCGGAATCAAATGTTGAGAGGATCGATGCTTGCTTCCTTATCATAACACGATAAATAGGTATAGATTATTTTACTGACAATCGCCATTACATTATAATGCTATTTTCTCCCTTAACCACTAAGAAACTGAAAAGGCTGTGGGAGATAGTTAAAACCCATTACTCTTAACACTTGTCTTTTAAAGACTTGTAAAGGTAGACGATAGTTTTCAAATTGTGGTAATGTTGACAAATAGATGCTATTGGATGACGTCGTACGTCTGAAGAGTAAAAGATCTCGTCGCAGACGACGGCAAAAGAAAGTAAATAAAATGAGGCAAACGAACAGCAGGTTAGGCGAGTGCATCAATTAAAATCTTAACCAATTTGACGTGTTCCCTATCACTAAAGAGGCGGAAAGGATTCGTTTTTTTTTTTTTTTTTAAACAATAAATGAACAAGGCAGTCGTCAATCTGAGTGTCTGCCCTCCAAAAGCCTGGTAACAAGCAAACAAAATGTGTAGTTGATTCCCCATTTCATATACCTTGGCATGTGACCTCCACTCTACTCCACTGGCCACTGGCTTCACAACGCCTGGTGGCGGATCCTTGGAGGTAAAATCCTGCGTCACACTTAAATTCCACTTCACTTAGATATGTAGTCTTGTCACCAATCACAGATCCGTTGAGCGGCCTTGGTACATTTCCACAGTCCTTTGCTAATAAAGTGTAAACCTATATGAGCTTTGTACTGAAAAAAGTCTTAATCCGGAATAAAGTTTTCCTCCTTAGATAAACTTCACTTAGCTAATTTAAGGTTTAAGTCAATTAATCTACTTTAAGCAAAGCTAAGTTTAGTAAATCAAATTATTTGGTGCTAAAGTGCACTAAGGTAACACTTATAGTAGAAAAAAAAAAACAAACAAAAAACAGGGTAAACGTGACTAGGAGTAACTTTACATGAAGTTTTGAAACTTGTAAACTGATTTCCTGGTTCAGATGACGTGTTAATTCTTGGCGACGTTTGGTAAACTATTCAGAACATTCATTCAACCAATAAACAGCTGCCGCCTTCTACCCTCTTTACTTTGTTATCGAATACTCTAACGACGCACTTCTCTCAGTGAAAAAAAAAACATACCTTTGAGATTCTGGTAGAGATGCAGTTACGTTTTTATCACTTACCGTCACAAAAAGTATCATTCAAACTCCACCTTCCGTTTGCTTGACACTTAACACGTGATGATCCTCGGAGAATGAATCCCACATCACAAACTGCGTTCACAACGTTTGGGAACACTGTGCTTTTCCCTCTGTAACTACCATATTGCAAAGGTGGTAACGGACCGCAATCCACGGCTAAACATAGACAAATTTGATTACAACAAAGTCAGCTAGCAGAACAGCGATGATCAGATTTCCCAAGAAATAAAATGTTTTATCTTTTACCAACGAAATTACACCCAATGTAGCTATTAAAATCCCTGAAAGTGAACAGTTTCAAACGTCCCTAGCAGCTGTCAGACCCAGCCGGATAAATGCGTTAAGCCATGCATCAAGCGTTGCAAGCTTTAAGTACATGCGTGGGTCCGTCTGTTCGTCTGTACTTTCATTTGACCAGCAGGCCATTAATTCCCCTAAGACTACTTTGAAGATTAAGAGAGACACGTGTAGCCTTGTGTTATTCGTTATAGGCAGAGAGTTTGCCTTGAGGAGGATTGTGATGATGTGGAGGAAATCACACAAATTCAAGGGGAGGAGCGACCAATGCAGGTATCATCAACGTTACATAAACTGCAGTATGAAAAGGAGGATCGCACATTGTTCGATTATGCATAAAAATCGAAATCAGTTTTCAGATTTTGTCCACGACAAGCTGGTGCGATGACGCATATTGGTGCGATGACGCATATTGGATGACCTTCGCCAACGAAATATATATGCGCGCGATATTTGAAAAGCTGTCGAATGACAGTATCGATGGTGCAAAGGAAACAAGGCGAACGAAGTGGAAGTAAATAAGGATTAAATAAATACATGAATGAAGACACGGACGAGCAAATGTATCAGAATGATTAAAAAGGAATGAAAGAACAATTTAAAAAGTGAGTTAATGAGTAAATAGATTAATAATTAACGATAGAATAAATGAATGAGTGACTGATTGGTTAAAGGATTGATTGATTGATTTATAAATTGAATGACTGACTGCTCCTTCAACCTACCGCTACAAACAGTCGAGAAGCCGCCCCATGTTCCATTAGTCTGGCACATCCTTGAGGCGGATCCACTCAAAATAAAGCCTGGATCACAACTAAATTTTATGGAATTGGGGAAAATTGTAGAGTCTCCAGAAGAGGAACCATTCATTGGAACAGGTAAATGTCCGCAGTCAACAGCTACAAATAATAGAGACGAAATGAGAAAAACCAATTTTCTTCGTGAAACATTGCTATTGACTTCCATCTCAGTTTCAGTCAGTAAATCATAACAAAACGCTTAAATTACGCTCTAAGCTATTCAAATTTAATAATGGCACATAATTATAACTTTAAAATATGGATTCAAGCTGATAAATCGCCAGTTGGGGCAGTTTTGTGGCCTGCCACCCTGGTTTTCATTAAACAGCGTATATCACACTTAAGCCTTGGTCAAACGGCGCATGATAGTCGATGATAGTTGATTCTCTTCAAACTATCATCAACTATCAACAACTATCATTCGCATGGTCAAACGGCCAAAAAAGTTCGTGATAGTTAACAATTATTCTTTGAAATCGAGGTGAATAGTGGCTAAATATTTACCGAGCCGCGAAGCGGCGAGGTAAATATTCCCGAAAGCCACTATTCACCGAGATTACAAATAATAATTGTTTTAGTATATACACACGAAGTGATCTGGACAAAATTAAAAGGAAGCCATTTAAAGGAAATTTCTGCTTCTGAAACTTTAGCGAAACGCGAGATTACGCCTGCTATTTTGTTTTTCACATTATCCACTTGCTCCGAGGTGTACATTGTTGATTAGCCCAAGATAGCGAACCAATCATATTGCTTGAAACGCCAAGATCACTGAGTGTGTATATACTAATTGATGTTATAGTTCACCACTAAATTTTCTCCGGTTCTTAATGGTTTAAATCGATCACGTGACGCAATAGTGTTCGTCCGTGGAGAGAAATCAGCCCATAGTGCCCGCCCGCGGAAAATACCCGGATGGATAGTGCCCGTTCGCGGAAAATACCTGGATTGATAGTACTCATCCGTGAAAAGTTTTGAATAGTTTGACGGCCGCGAAGTTAGGCAGATCGGAAAAACAGTGACTTGTCAATTCTGACAGGTATAACGTATTATTTAGCCAATGTACGGTTGCGCATTATTGACATTTGTGACAAGCTGTAGGCGCCCAAGAAAATTTAGTCGTGAACAATAAAAACAATAGAGTGTTTATGTCTTGGAGCTATCGATCTGATAGTTGCCCCGTAGAAATTTGATGTTCTTTAAACTAACATATTTGTTTTAAGAACATCAAATTTCCGCGGGGCCACTATCAGCCGATAGTTCCTCAACAGAAACACTCTATTGTTTAAATAGTTCACCGGCAGTTGCGCGAGCAAAGTCACGTGAGCAGCTAGTTGCAGGCTCTTTCCGCGTAAAATGTGAACACTAACATGGCTTCGCGTGAGACAAACAAACTTGTTAAAGTATGAATTTATCACGGCGAAAGAGGGCGGCAGCTTGCTTACTAGTAATAGATTTGTTGGAGGAATGTATGGAGGATGAATTTGGAGAGCGTTGGTGGAGGAGATGACGGACAAGCGAATGGATTAAAAGGAGAAACGAAAGGGGGATGTTGAAATTGGAGGAAGAATTGCGAGTGGAGGACACTGCCGCTTACAAGGAAATGTTGGTTTTCAATATTTTCTTTCTAATTATTATTATTTTTGGGTATAAAAACGAAATTCTGAAGCTGAAGCTGAGCCTCCCGAGGAGCTTTTGGCGTCCATTTTAAACGAGCCCGCCGATTTTCGGGGAAAACAGCTGACCAAAAACTATCAGGAACTATCATACGCGTGGTCAAACGAGAAAAACTATCATCGACTATCATGAATTTGAACAAGCTCAAAATGAATGATAGTTGGTGATAGTCGATGGTAGTGCATGATAGTTGGTGGTGAAACGGAAGCGCGCGCTTCAACTATCATCGACTATCATCAACTACCATCGACTATCATGCGCCGTTTGACTAGGGCTTTAATAAAAAGAAGCGTTACCAAACGTAGATTTACTATTTTGGTCCGCACAGGTAGAATGTCTACCTATTTCTAGGTGACCTCAGAGCACTTCCAACTATGTGAGGATTTTATTTACTCTTTCTGCTCTTCTCATTTTCTTCCTGACAACTTACCGACACATACAGTTTCAATTCCATTCCAAATTCCATTAGACTGACACGTTCTCACAGCTGAACCATTAAGAATAAATCCAGAATCGCAACGAAACTGCACATTATTTGGGAACACAGTGGAGTTACCAAAAATGGAGCCATTCATCGGAATAGACAAGGGGCCACAATCAACAGCTAAAGAAATAAATAAAGAACTATGCATTAAATTTGGAACCGAAGGATACTTTTTGTAGTACAGTACTTTATCATGGTAGAATGAGCAACTCTTATGAACTGGTATAGAAAAGTCAGAACGGCTTGTTTAACACAGCTAGACCAAAAAAAGAAAAAACATCATTCAACCTTCACAATATGTCTGAACTCCGCTCCAAGTTCCATTTGATTGACATTGCCTGGTTTGCGAGCCTCTGAGAAGAAATCCTTCATCACAGCTTAAATCGATCTTGTTCGGAAATGTTGTGAGATCACCATGTAAAGAACCATTCGATAGGATTTCCAAGGCACCACAATCTTTTGCTAAATTAAGATATTAATAATGAAGAGCATCAGTAACGGTGTTTGAGAGGTATTGGTATGTACGTGCGTTTCAAGGATAGTTATCATTCGAACGTTACGAGAGTTATTACAGCAATGAGCTTTGCCAGTGTAAAGTAGAACTTGCGTGAGATCCATAGCCTGAGCAAGCCTAAAAGAAAGGAACATTAATTGCACAGATAAAAGTTGGATTCTGAAACGAATTTGGATTTTGTCGTAATTTGGTTTTATCAACTGAGGTGATAATGTAAATTGGCCACCGTTAAGGGTTTAACAGCTGACGATTCGAGCTTTAGCCCTTCGTCAGAGCGAATCATTCTTGTCGGTGAACTTACCAGTACAGACAGTTTCAAGCCCATCCCACGTCCCATTTGCCTGACACGTCCTCTTGTGGGATCCATCAAGAATAAATCCGGGATCGCAAGCAAACAGTAAACTATTTGAGAAGACTGTGGAGTCGCCAAAGGAAGATCCATTCTTAGGAACTGACAAAGAACCGCAATCAACAGCTGAAAAGAGTTCACACAAATCTCTTTAATTAGAAACGAGTTTAGATCAGTGTCTTTCTTTTAAAGAAAGTTTCGATTAAAGAAAGCTTCGATAAAAGAAAGCAATCCGCAATCATTTGCTCTAAGTTCTCTCTGAGGTGGGATTGTAGAACCAATCCAACCTAAAATTTTCAAAAAATTCAATCTCGGCTTTGTCCCAAGTATTTTCCCGCTCAAAGCCGGTTACTAGCATTTGCTCGTTATTCTGATGAAGTCATTGCATTATCCCAGTTCTTCGAAACTGAAAAGAAAAAGCGCTCGACGCGAACGAAAACAAGCCCTCTCTTCCGCAAGATCATCATTCGCACATCTAGAATGACTCAGGTTGCTCCTTGAGCAAACATTGTAGGATAAAACAATAACATTTATATACAGAGGGAATATATATATATATATATATATATATATATATATATGTATATAAAGTGTGACTTGATTTTCGTAGAACAGTGCTCAATACATAGAAGTAGAGCGAAATATATATTGTGGGAGGAATATACATATATCCCACAATATATATATGTATATATATATTTATTAAAAACTAGATCATTGGATAATGCAATTCAAGACTTTTTATTGGCTTAGCCATTATGGTATATCAGCCAATATACCATAATCAACAAATATGGTAAGAGTACGTGTCAGCTTAAAATTAAAAGGGAGCTAAGAATTTAATAAAATTTAATAATTTAATTTAACGTTTTTAATAAAACAATTATTCCACTCGCGCTTGTTGGATATGAGATGATTATAGCCAACTCGGCGCTACGCGCCTCGTTGGCTATCTATCATCTCATATCCAACGCGCCGANAAATAGCGCTATCTACTGCGAGGATCGTGCATCATATGTATCTAATACCGCAGTACAAAATATATGAACTTCATATATTTCATTGTATCTCATTTATCACTTTCACGGGTTTATTACGAATCAACTTAACGGCCTGCTCCCAGTTGGCTTGTTAGCTCAATTGGTAGAGCGCTGCACTAGTATCGCAGAGGTCAGTGGTTCGAATCCCGTACAGGCCTGATTTTTTTCAGGTCTGATTTTCGCTATTGCTTAAATAGCGCTATCTACTGCGAGGATCGTGCATCATATGTATCTAATACCGCAGTACAAAATATATGAACTTCATATATTTCATTGTATCTAAGATTAATTAAATTAATCAATTTAAATTAACCTGATTAAATGTGTAAATTTACCTGATGTAATTTGCTAGTATCGGTTTTATTTTACCAAGATAGCAATATTACCTTTGCACGATGTTTGAATTCCACCCCAGGACCCATTAGCCTCACACTGCCTGACTGTTGAGCCATTCAAAATAAAACCTTCATCACAGCTTAAAGTAACTTCGTTGGGAAAAGTAGTTTTTTGTCCTGTCACAGAGCCGTTCAAAGGAATAGGAAGTGCACCACAATCCTTGGCTGTAAGAGAAAACGTAATAAATAATAATAATAATAATAATAATAATAATATTAATAATCATAAAAAAAGCAAAGCAAGCCACGCAGCATTAAAGGACAAAGTTACTGAGCAACATCAAGCGTCAAAGTAGAAGGTCACACGGAGTGCTATCGATATTTCTTTATTTCTGTCTTGAACACCATGTGGTTAACAGAACTGAGTTGGAAAAGGCTGAACGCTTAGATTTAGACCGTCATACCATCATTGCACTATCATACTACATATCTCAGCAAAGTTTTGTGACCAGTCTATTCCAAAATGCCTTTAGTACTCGGAAGGCCGACAACCAGTAAAGTATTTAACAACAGTTTGCAAAACATCTATGCATCTTTCCAATCGGTATTTACCGTGAGACTTGGAAATGCTTTTTACCTTCACAAAAGCTGGAGCTTTTGCTCCAGGTCCCATTCGTCTGACACTTTATTCTTGCAGGGCCACGAAGAATGAATCCTTCATCGCAAACGTGAGTCACAAAATTGGGATACACGGTCTTTTCACCAATGACAGTGCCATTCTGTAAGGGCTGGGGCATACCACAGTCAATAGCTGGAAAGATAAGTCACGTCGACGTAGGACAAAGCATGATAAAAGTACGAGATATTTATGAATAATTATGACCAATAAATACATGCCCAGCTTTTACACGAGTACTCTACGCTCTAAAGTTTTAACAAAAGGAGTTAACTTCGTCCGTCCGTCAGGCCATTTTAACTTCGCGGGGCACAAGCAGCAAGCGAGAGGAGAACAATACGCGCTTACAGGCATGCAAGCTATTTGTAACTCATACAAATACACATTACAAGGAAACTAGCTCTAAGGCTATAGTTGAACATTTATCATAACCGCGGCTATGGTCTAGCGACAACAAATAAAGGGAAATACAAGAGAGGATTGTAAGATACAAAGGGAATATGAAGCGTCGATAATTTTTAACGTCTTGCGCAGAAACGCGTTTCTGTTACTTCTAAATGACTGTCGATGCCAAGCACATCCATGAGAATCCTGACGTGTGACTTCAATGGAATGTATTTCCTTGAACCTACCATTACATACGGTTTGCAATCCACTCCATGTTCCATTTGCCCGGCACTTCCTCGTGGCAGAACCATCGAGAATGAATCCAGGATTACAGCTAAAAACTACATTATTGGGAAACACTGTAAAGTTACCAGATGAGGAACCATTCTTCGGAACGGATAGAGGACCACAGTTGACGGCTAGAAAGGCATAATTAGTATTGGTAATCGCATGGGGCCGAGTAAAATTAAGGATTAATATCACGCGTGTTTTCGGAAGTTGCTGAAATTGCCCTCGTCGTTGCGCGACTCGGGCAATTTCTGCAACTTCCAAAAAAAAAGTGATATTAATCCTTAATTTTATGAGGAACCATGTGATTACTTGTTTATAATAGAAGGGGCAAAATGTTTTCTTACTGATCTCGCGCAAAACGGGACGCCATTGTTACAAAACAAACAGAAATTTCTTTACCTTGGCAGCCGTTGCTACGCGATTTTCAGCCTATCATTTTCAAGTAATTTTACCCGGGGCAATTACAAAAATTAAGAAAAAATGCCCTCCGTCTTGACCAATCACAATTCAGTAATTTTGCCCCTTATATGATAACGTCAGTAACTGCATTTAGGAAAATTCGCTATCTTAGCAAAGGGCCAAGTTACTTAAAAAATGTTGAAAAATGTAATAAAACGAAAGCCGGGAGCTACGATTTTTTGCGTTGGAATCTTATTATGATTACCAACCATATCTTCCTATACAAACAGCCATGTTCCTGAGCGATTTTTGCTGAGAAAGTCGAGAATCGTAAATATGTTCGAGTTGTGTCTTTTTTGTTACTCTTGTGATCTTGTCTTTCACTTGATGAAACGCTCTTTTCAAACGTACCACTACATACAGTCGGAAGACCACTCCAGGACCCATTCGCCAGGCATTTCCTTTCGTGGGATCCACTTAGAACGAACCCTGAATCGCAGTCGAATTGCACACTATTGGGGAACACTGTGGAGTCGCCAGAAGAGGAGCCGTTCATAGGATTTGATAAAGGACCACAATCGACAGCTGAAGAGGAAAAACTAATTGCTGCAATATTTTTACGAATGAAAAGCTGAACTTAAAAACCCATAGCACCCACTCAATGAGAAAAAAAAATTCTTCTGATTCTGTGAATAGACCCGCATTTGAATGTAGTATGCAACTCGAGCCAGGTTTCTCATATCGCCCGGAATCCTGTTGCTTTTGACGTACTTCGACGAGGGATAAATTATCTATTCTTTGCTCTAAAGAATTAGTTTAATCAGTGTTTACTGAGGGCCAAGCAGCGAGTTCTGTTCGACCTCGCCCATCTGCAGAACAGAGCCGACGGATCGAATTAAGGCACACAACGATCCTTAAAAAGTTCTACTGGTGGTTTCAAAACGCTTTTTTTCGCTGTTACATAGGAGCTTTCCCATCGAAGTTGTCACATACAATTGCAAAAATCAAGTTTCACACACAGCCACTAATCGTACCGATCTTATAAAAAAGACAGGCTATTAATTACAAGCTGAATAATACGAACCTTCACAAAAGGTCTGATTTCCACTCCAGTTCCCATTTGCTTGACATTGCCTGATGGGAGAGCCTTTGAGAAGAAAACCTTTATCACAATTAAAGGTGATCTCATTTGGAAAGAATGTCAGCTCGCCGGTTGACGAACCGTTCGTCGGAACTGTAAGCAGACCACAATCTTTCGCTGCGTAGAAATGAAAGCAGAATTCAAGATTTGTTCTTGCAGAATGCAGCAGAATTCAGCGAACTAACGTTATTGTCAAACACATAACATTTAAGGAGGAGGGAGCTGCAAACGTATTTCATATGTTTTATTGGAACCTACCGGCACATGAGACCGCTTTTCCACTCCAAGTCCCATTAGCCTGACACATCCTCATGGGGGATCCATACATATTGAATCCAGGATCACATTTGAAAATTATGTTGTTGGGAAAAACTGTGGAGTTACCAGAAGAAGAGCCATTTACGGGAACCAAAAGAGGACCACAATCGACAGCTATAAGAAAAAGAGTTCATAAAAAAAGGTTATTTCATCCAAAGCAATTTCGCGATCATTAAGAAGTATCTGCATCAATACTACGTTAGGCTTAGCTCTCTCTATCTCCTTCTTTTGCATTACCCAACGAAGAAAAATGATCTCCTGATGAACATCAAATTTCTTTTCCTTTGATTGTGATAAAAATGAGATTATCTGCATGGAGTGTCGAAAAGAATATTTCAAGTGGGGCTTACCAGTCAATTTCTTCATGAAGGAAAAGTATGATCACCGAGGAACCTTACCTTCACAAGAAGTGTCATTACCACTCCAAGTCCTATCTGCTTGACACTGTCTTGCAGTGGATCCCTTCATGATAAATCCGTCGTCGCAGCTAAAATGAACTGTATTTGGATAGGTTGTCTTGTTTCCAGTTATTGAACCATTCGTAGGAATATCCAGAGCACCGCAGTTTTTGGCTGTGTGAAAAGAGAAAGTAAAACTTAATGATGATTAATAGGATGTAGAGACTAGCATTGAGCTTATGTAGGATCATCCTGATATCGATGGAGGAAAAGTTTCAAACTGCAGAATTCGTAGAATATCCCAACAAACTTCATCTCAAGACTTCTCGCACATCCAAAATAAAATGCACTTGTCCTCGTGAATGTAGGCTGCAATGCCTTGGTTACAACCAAATGCTGCAGGAAATAAGCCAGGACTACTTTGGATTCAATTGAAAAATTTACCTTCGCAATAGCTTGAAGTTTTGCTCCACGTTCCATTTGTCTGACATGTAATTCTCGAGGAACCATGCAGAATGAATCCTTCATCACATCTGTGAATGACATCATTTGGATAGACTGTCTTTTTGCCAACAATACTTCCATTCTGTAAAGGCTGAGGATCGCCGCAATCAACAGCTGAAATGTAAACAAATGAACATAAAACATTGCAGAGGCGTAGAAGAATAATCAAGCTTAGAGAATCTTTTTTTTTCTTTTCAAACAGTAACAAGGCGATTCACAAAAAACGTCGAGCAACAACTTTATCTTATATCTCTTAGGAGGTTCGTCTTCAACATAACTGACAAGGCAATGTTGAGTTGGAAACCGCCGCATTGGTACAATTTGCCGTCAGACTCTCCGTTCTTAAAAGGCACTGGGGATTTCACGCCATTACTTTAAAGAGAACACCTTGGAAATGTACAAACTCTTAAAACGCTCGTGCAGAAATTCTGTTTTACTCCCTGAATATTGATTCAACCGCCTCGTTGTTGCCTTTGCGTTGTGCGTAAAACAAGGGATTATAAACCATTTCAAGATTCTTGTATCATGAACTTTTCAGGTGCAGTTGTTATGACGATGCAAAATCAAGCGGATGCATAAAAACTAAAAAGGTTTTGTTTTCTTACCAGCGCCCATTAGGGAACTAATTCATGCCACGATCAATGATGTTAAACACAGTGGGATATAATAATGGTCTGTCTGTCCATTCGTCTTGAGGTTTTTATATTGTTATGGTGTACTAACCGAAGAATAAGTTTACTCGCGAACTTATAGCATAAAATGGTTCGAAGGCATCACGTGAGATTGACAACGAAGAGTGCAAAACTGAGAAAGTACACACAAATAAAATTTTATCGACATTTGTGTACATCTTATAAGCAACACCAAAGAAAAAAATTTGAGAGCAGAAAATCGAAGGTGACAAAGGATCGCATAGGACAGAATAGATGTAACATTTGCGTGACTGCAATGTAAGATGAGAAATTTTTTAACATCAGCTCGTACGAGCAAAGCGTTGACGTATTCTGCCTTGTGGCAGCAGGACGATAACATATTTCTTTTTTCCTTTTGTTGCATCAAACATACCACTGCAAAGGCCTTCAAATCCACTCCATGTCCCATTTGCCTGGCAAGTCCTTATGACAGATCCATTGAGAAGAAAACCAGGATCACATTGAAAGTATACGCTATTGGGGAACACCGTTGAGTTACCAGAGGAAGATCCATTCATGGGAACAGATAAAGAACCGCAGTCGACGGCTAAAAAAAAAAACAACAAACATGAGATGAATCTAAGGAAAGACTAGCGAATAGTGTTTCAGCTTAAGACATTGAAATGATTAAAAAAAACTTTACACCGCACGGTCAACGAGGGTTTAACACAAAGAACGAAACCGAATAAGCGCCCGCGCTCGAATAAGCGCCCGCCCCAGAAGCCAAAATGCAAAATAACTGCCCCCCCCCCTCCCTTACTCTCTCAGATTAGCAGGGATACCGAAAAAACCTGTTCCTATTGCCAATTTATAACCTTTAAACAATTCAAAGCAGAACTAATGCAGGAGAATAGTTTATATTCTGCCAACGGTTAATTCAATCTCCACGTGCTTGCAAAGTTTCTTTGTGTGCCTTATCTGTTACTTTAATTTTTGTCCTATTGCTGCATTCTTGGTAAATGCCGTTAACTTTCCAAGCACAACTGGTCCATACTCTAGCCTTAGAGGACCATTAATTTGGGCCTCACCTTTTTTAAAAAGCTCCAAATACATAAAAGTTCCGTGTTAAAGAGTTCCAATTTGGGACTTAAAAGTTCCAAATGGACTGTCGTTATACTTCTTGACTTAGTCCCTGTTCTCTTTTTAAGAAAACAAATCTTTCCCTTGTGTTTAAATAAATTAAAGGGATTGTGTTAACGTCTACATGGATAACGTTGTAGTTTTTGTCTTTCCATATAAGATTGAGCCAAAATAAAGTTACAGCTCGTTGATGCAGAAATGATGAAGCACCCCCCTCAATTATGCGCCCTCCTCCAAGCGCCCGGGCGCTTTTTGGAGGTAATACAGCATATATATAAACGAAGTTAAACGAAAAATAATTTTTTTGAAAAACAAAAGAAAATACTTATTCAACAGAATCGTTGAAACGAACAAGGTTTCCATTCCATTCCGCGACACCGAGAGACAATTCTTAAAACTATTTCAGTTGCTTTTTCACTTAGCAAAGGAAAGTAAGTTTTTTAAGGATTTGTGTTCAAAACCTGAAGTGCTAGCTACAATTCTTCTGCTGTGGTGCTCAATTTTTAAGAGTCTGCTTCCTCCACTATGTTTTGTAGGTACGAAACTAGTCAACAAATTGCCGTAACGCAGCGACCTCCATACCACTTATGCGCAAGATATAATGGTGCCTCTTCTGTGAACTTAGCACATACAAAGCACAGCGGTTCTCATATCAACCACAATATAAGTTATCTCGATCAATATGCCAAAACGATTTTCTGTTAAACCAAATACAAAAAAATACACCGGATTTGTTTCCGTGTTAGACGTACCACTACATGCAGTTGGAGAACCACTCCATGTCGCATTAGGCTGACATGTCCTTACAATAGATCCACTGAGAATGAAGCCCATATCACAGTAAAAAAGCACACTATTAGGAAATACAGTGGAGTCACCGGAAGAGGAGCCGTTCACAGGAACAGATAAGGAGCCACAATCAACAGCTTAAAAAAGAAAGTTTACAAGACACTCTCTTAGTGATCAACAATGTAGCGCAGTATTGGTGATTATTGATTCATAAAGTACCTATCACAAAGACTTTCCTCAATCTTTTCAATACTTTATCGCAAAAAAAAAAATAGTTCAAATGCACCATGGCTAAATAAAATGTATTATGTAACTTAGAAAGACAAAAATAACTGGAGAAACCTTGACAAAAGGTCCGATTTCCACTCCATGTTCCATTTTTCTCACAGTGCCTCGTCTGAGAGCCTCTCAGGAGAAAACCTTTGTCACAACTAAAGTCAATCTTATTCGGAAAAGTAGTAAGAGAACCAATACTGGAGCCATTTGTTGGGACGGTAAGAGGACCACAGTCTTTCGCTAAATGAAACAGAAAGGACTTTTTTTTACCAAAATTTACTTTTTGCAATGTTTACCTAAAGAATTTGGATAGTTTATTGTACTCGCCCGATTGGCTGTGCAAAATACATCTACAAATAAATCCTACCAGTGCATACTGTTGTGAACCCACTCCAAGTTCCATTGGGTCGACAAGTTCTCTCTGATGATCCACTCAAAATAAATCCAGGGTCACAACTAAATTGTACACTGTTGGGAAACACTGTAGACACACCATGAAATGAACCGTTCATGGGTGTAGATAAAGAACCACAGTCAACAGCTGCGAAAAAAGTAAAATTGCAAAGGAGTTGAATGCGTGCAGGTATATTCCTGTCAACAGATATGTCTGCTATTCAAAATACGTATACCTCTATTTCAATGCATCTCTTTGTAAAGAGACCACAACATTTAATGATAAAAATAGAAAAAAGTAAACTTTTCGGCGGAAGGCATCTTTTCCTCTCTAAGTAACTGAAACGCGCTCTCAATGTAACGACTGTCCAGACCTTGAACTAATTAGAAGTATATTGAAAGTTCAGACGCCGCAATTGTCATGTGGCATCTTCTACAGATGCTGCAAGACACCTAAAGCTAAAAACAGTAATATCACTCCTTTATAATGTTTACTTTATAAAGGGATCCGTGACCCGGTGTAAATATGTCCCCACCTATGCACGAGGTCTCTGTGCCACTCCAAGACCCATTCGACTGGCAATGCCTGACACTTGAACCATTTAAAATAAATCCTTCATCGCAATCAAAAGTAGCTTTGTTAGGAAAAGTTGTTTCATGACCTGTCATGGAACCATTTAATGGCTTTGAAAGATTACCGCAATCCTTAGCTGTGAAAAAAAGGAAAGGGACATGTTAGGACCTGTTCTAAAAATCGCAAAGTCCGAATCACCATGATTGAGTACCAATGCCTTTCTTTTCCATCCAGTGACTCTATATCATTTGCAAGAAAAGAGTTCTTACCTTCACAAAAGCTGTCAGTTCGGCTCCAAGTTCCATTAGTTTGGCATTTTATCTTAGCGGGGCCTCGAAGGATAAAACCTTCGTCGCAATCGTAAATGAGAAAATTTGGATACACAGTGTTTTCTCCAATGACGCTCCCATTTCGCAAAGGCTGGGGCCGACCACAGTCAACAGCTGAAATGCAATACCGCCAAGAACAAGAGAGGTACCATAAAATATCACGTCTTTTTAGAATAATTAATGAACTATGTATATTTCGGAAAGTAAGAGAATATCAATTAACTAGGTGATAGTGATGTAAACTGCTTTGATTGAACGACAAGAGTAAATTAAAGAATGATGAGACTTTACGAAAGGACGATGATTGAAATTATGTGACAGGTGTGGTGAATCCTTAGTTCGTCCGTCAGCCCGTTCCGTCCCTTCACGAATGAAGTAAAGAAAATTACATTTCGAAATCGAGGATACAAATGCTTTACCACGTTTGATCGGGTCAGGAATAGCGCGAAAGGTTCAAAGGGAACAAGCGGCAGAAACACATCAGCATGAATGGAATTGAACATGTAAATAATCAGCGTGCAACAAGTAGCACTTGCATAAAATAACACACGTGAAGTGAATATCGAATGATAACTGACTTTATTATCCAACTACACTTCGTAGAGTACAAATAACGCCATAGACGAGTACAAATATCACGCGGTATTTGTACTCTAGAGTTCCGGTTAAATAGATTTTCTCGCATCGCGCAAGCGAAGAGTTGAATTGTAGTTACGAAAAAAATGGCGGACAATTTGAATCATTTTTCCGACGACGAAGAGTCAGAATGGCTGGCAAATATACATCCAAGTTCATTTGCTGAACCGAACGAAGAAAAACAGCTAGACGACCTGAAAACAGCAACACGACAACGCGCCAATTCCGTTCCGCTTCGCATACTTCTGTCACGCACTCCCCGTAAATAAATATCCGCGAAATTCGCCCGCACTGAAATAACAGTTTCGCGTGTTGGATAATAAATAACTTATTACACGTTTTGTTGTGTAGTATCGCTGAGTATTTTTACTCGTCACTTGTATTTTGAATCCCCTACGGGCTCGTCAAAATACGGCACAACTCGTAAAAATACTCGGCGATACTACACAACAAAACGTCTAATAAGATATACGAGTCGAACACTACAATGAGTATCATAGCAGAAAGTAAGTGCAATAAGGCGGACAATAAAAAACTTAGCAGTGGGTTGTATCCTCAAAACGAACACGTGAGCAACATCGAATGTCCATGTGCATTGATGTCTGCTTCAGACATACCACTACATGTGGTTGGAAAACCATTCCATGTTCCATTTGGCTGACACGTCCTCACAGCGGATCCGTTTAGGATGAATCCAGGATCACAGATAAAACGCCGACTATTTGGGTAAACTGTTGCTGCACCAAGAGAGGAGCCGTTCGTAGGAACAGATAAAGTGCCACAGTCGACAGCTAAAGGATGGTAAGAGATGAAAAAAAAAAAAAACTTTCATTAGCACTTATGAAGAACAACGAATTTTAGCCTTTTAAGACTCTGTATTTGGTGCCTAGTGTCAGCCCTATCACCAAAGTGAATGTTCCAATCTGAAAGACTCAACGAAATAGTTTCAGGAAAACGAAATCTTAAGTTATAATCCATCTTATCTCATTAAAAGAAAACGTTAGCCTTTTTTTCTGGCGTTTTTTTGTTTTAGCGTACAAGCGGCTTATAATAATAATGGTCCCATCAAAATGTGGAGGATTAAAAGTCTGTTTCGCTAAATACAGCTTAGTTATTTTGAGATACGGTACGACTGAAATCTTGCCAAAATCTAGTCTCAATGACTAAAAAGCAAAGAAAGACCTTGACAGAATGTCTGATTTCCACTCCAAGTTCCATTAGCTTGGCAATGTCTGACATGAGAGCCGCTGAGGAGAAATCCTTCATCGCAATTGAAGACGACCTTGTGAGGAAATACTGTCAGATCGCCAACAGATGAGCCGTTCACTGGAACGGCTAGGGGACCACAATCTTTAGCTAAGTAAAATTATAATAATCATCATCATCATCATCATCATGACAGATTATCACCAACGGCGTTAACAATGTGCTTTTTTAGGTACACTACAAGGCAATATGATTTCCTCTTGTGTTGGCTGCCATTAAGGTTGGCAGCTGAACCAGACAGGATGACATTATTTAAGGGTACAGTAGAAGTAGACATGAAAGGGACGCTTGAATTTGTAGCTAATAAGGGTCTCAAAGGCTCGAATTTCATTTTAAAATAAGTTAATTCAGTTTTATCTGAATGTTGAAAAACAAAAGATCGTCGAACCTTGACACTTAGTTTCACTGCCACTCCAAGTACCATTCGTTCCGCATTTCCTCATGGATGATCCGGTCAAAATGAAGCCTTCGTCACAATCGAACCTTAAGATATTTGGGTACGTTGTCATTTCACCAAACATTTTGCCATTCTGTGGAGTCATAAGCTCTCCACAATCGATAGCTTTAAAAAACAACGAAAGCAAATAAAATCACAATAATCCAAAGAATACAGTACTTGCCAAAAACTACTTCATTAATGCAATTCAAATTGTTTTAGATATCGCTATTTCAGTAACAAAGTAACCTTAAGAATGCATAATGAGGCGAAATTTCACCACTGGGTTCTTTACCTTCACAAATGGTTTGGTTTCCATCCCATTTTCCATTTGATTTTCTTCCAGCTATTGTCCATGACTACAGTCATTTTGTTACATAATTAATATTACAATAGTGTTTATACTAACCGACGCAGATAGTGGTGTTCCCACTCCAGTTTCCACTTGACAAGCATTGCCTTGTTCTCGACCCTCGCAGAATAAAACCGTCGTCGCAACTGAATATCACTTCGTGCGGATATGTTGTTAGGTTACCAAATGAAGAGCCGTTGGTTGGAGTCATTAGCTCACCACAATCTTTAGCTGATGGGAAGGTAATGATACGGTTAAAGCTCTTATATTGTTACACTTGCAAATTTCTACAGTGCATACGTACTGTAAATCAACTCACACCAGCAACTTTAAAGTTTACCTTCGCAGAATGTTTTGTTTCCACTCCACTTGCCGTTTGATAGACATCCCCTAACTCTGGAGCCTCTCAGGATAAAGCCCTCATCACATCCGAAAATAGCTTTGTTTGGAAATGTTGACTGTGATCCTTCCAGCGATCCATTCGTGGGTATAGTGAGCATTCCACAATCTTTAGCTAATAAAGTGGGCATTTTAAAGTTAAGTAATATCGATAATAATTTTGATAGTAATTTGATTTGCGGATTTGGAGCTAAGACGATAATTACATTCAACAAGCCAACAAGTATCTCAGTGGCAAAGGTTCGAACCCTGTCGAAGCCTTAACTTTCTCCGGGCTTCATTTTCAGGAAATTCTTCCACTGCAATTCACCTGTGAGTTTCAATTTGCTTTCTGTTAAAAGCAAAAAGTTACTCAAAACATACCTTCACAAAATGAGTCATTTCCACTCCACTGTTTATTAAGTTGACACTGTCGTACTGCAGACCCTCTCAGAATGAAACCCTCATCGCAGCTAAAGCTGACCTTGTTGGGATAAGTAGTCAGATTACCAGATAGGCTGCCATTCAAGGGAACGGACAAAGATCCGCAGTCATTTGCTGTATTGAACAGATAATAAGGATAATAACAGGTTTGTATTGAAAGGCCATAAAATGAGTAGAAAACACTACAACGACATTTCTGCGTAACTGGTTTCATACTGTTTAATAACTTTTTCCGTAAGCGGCTGCCGTTGGTGTAATAGGCCACGGCAACCCAGAAAAAGGGGGCGTAAGGAAGGGGCATTGAAATTTTCAGTTTAAGCTGTTTTTAGATCGGTTTTTCGGTTTTAGTGCCTAAAAACCTCGGTTTTTCGGTTTAGGTGTTTATTGCGTTTTGCGGATTTTCCGTCTTTTGGCATTTGTTTCTCGGTTTTCGCCAAAAACACTAACCGGGGTTTTCGGATTTGGTGTCCTATGCGGTTTTCGGTTTTTGGCTTTTTGGGTTCTGGTTTCTCTTCTATGTTCCAGTTGTCACCACTGTATGGTTTTGCATAACATTGTCACGAAGTTTACAACCATACAATAATACGTACAACAATACAAACATAATTTAACTATTTACACATTTATCAAAATAGTTCCATCACATCTTCTAAAGTGACTACAAAAATAGAAAAGCAGACGAAGAAATACCGAAACTACATAAAAAAAATACCAAATAATTATAACGGAGTAATTGAAAACAAGAAATAGTAACTTCCTTATAAAAGGGGAATCATGATGGTTCAGTTTGAGCATAAAAGAAAGCTCAAGTCTTTTCACCTTGACATAATGCGTCGGTTCCACTCCATGTTCCATTTGCTTGACACTTTCTAACGGGGGCTCCGACAAGTGTGAACCCAGCATCACAAGAAAACCGCAGCGTGTTGGGATAGGTCGTGTTTTTGCCAATCATGCTTCCATTTTGAGGGATTTGTATTTGTCCACAATCAATAGCTGTAGGTAAAGAAAACTATTACTGAGGGAGGTTAGATAGATGTTCATTTTATCCTCCGTTTTAACATCATAGCAGAAAATTCTTCAAGGAATTATATATGCACAACCACTCGTACGAAAATCTCTGTCTTGTTTCGCTCGCGTACTACGGTTGATCGTCCTTTCTTGGCGAGTTTAACATCATCTTTCAGTTTTTCATAGTTAGTAGGAAAACATAAACCACACCAGAAATATAAAATAAAAAAAATATTGCTTAAGCCTCCACTTGAAAGGAAAGAAATAAGAATAATTAGAAATTGGAAAGTTAAAACTTACCATGACACGTAGTCTTTAATCCACTCCATGTACCGTTCGCTTGGCACTCTCTAATGTTGGACCCTTTGAGAATAAACCCCGAGGCACACTGAAATTCCAAACTATTTGGGAACATCGTCAAGTCGCCAGACAAAGAGCCATTCTTGGGCGCATCTAAGTAACCGCAATCAACAGCTGCAAAAGAAAATGAATCCTTTGCAAATTGCCCGCAGCTGACGCACCATCAGTGCATGCAGCAATTAGTTATTGGTTATTTCAATGTCCGTTTAAAATTACAGGAACAGCCAGGAGAAAACGGTTTGTTACCTTCACAAAATGTGTCATTTCCACTCCAGAGCTTGTTAGCTTGGCAATTTCTTAAAGCAGATCCATGTAAAATGAAACCTTCATCACAAGCAAAGCTGATCTCGTTAGGAAAAGTTGTTAGATTTCCAAATGAGGTGCCGTTCATAGGTACTGACAAAGGACCACAGTCATTCGCTAAACGTTTGAGAGAAATGAAATGAACTGGGAATCGAATTTGGTGAGAAATAAACAAAATAAACCAACAAAGTAATACAAAATTCCTACAAACAATCTACTTTTGACGCTGAATCGATTACAAAAAATAGTGCGATTGTTACTTCAAATGAGTTCGGCCATTTCAGTGGGGGAAAACGCATAAATATAAGTTTTCGCCAAACCTTTCCATGACCTAGCTTTTGGATAAATTGTTTGATATCTATAATAAGCGATTAAAGCACATTTAACAAAATTTCGTTTCCACCTTTGCAAAGAGAGTTGTTTCCACTCCATGTTCCATTTGTTTGACACTTTCTGTGACTAGATCCGTGCAGTGCAAATCCTTCGTCGCATGTGAATTGCAGAATGCTGGGGTATACGGTCGTTTTGCCTAGTACACTTCCATTTTGTGGAACAGGTAATGACCCACAATCGATAGCTAGAGTACAACAAAAATCATTAAGGAAAAAAATACTCATATTTACCTCACTACAAACTGTGCAATTTGTACTTACACTCAAAGGATAGAAATTTCGATTCTGCCCATCTCGCCTATTGTCCGTCCGTCTACTTTTTAAAAATAACTTGTTCTTTTTCTTCGTCAAATTGAATAGAATTTCGTTAAAAACGTGTTAGATGTGATAATTATCGCGAGCCAGACCCGTGACTTTTAAAAGACCTTTTAGAGACTGGAATTCTCACCACTACACTTTGCTTCAGATCCGCTCCAGATATCATTCGACTGACACGTTCTCACAGAGGAACCACTAAGAATAAAACCCGGATCACAAGCAAACCGAACGCTGTTTGGATAAACTGTGAGGTTACCAAATAAAGAGCCATTCATTGGAGGGTCAAGTGGGCCACAATCGACACCTGGAAAAACAAATAAATAGTAGTGAATAGTAGGACTAGTAACAAAATTGGTGAAAAAAAAAAAGAAAACATACTGGTAAACAAACAAACAAACTAAGGAAGTGAAAAAATCATGAAAAAAACAAAGGCCATTTTAGCCAAGTAGTTTGGTCATTAGTTGCCTTACAATGATATCTTATAAAAACTATTGTTTCGCTGTTCGTGTCAATACAGTGCAACAAATAAAGTACAGAATGGGAGCTAATGCTTTCCAAAGTTTTATGCTACAGTTCCACGACGCTGTATTATAAACTCTGCATAAACATTTCATTTCACTTTACATCTGTCTTAGTGTTATGCTCCGTTAATTATAGATTCTTTCTGATTGGTCGAGGATCGCGTCATATCTCGCCATAATCACCTCGCGCGATGGAATTATAGCAGGGGCGCTAAATTTGAAAATGGCTCCCTCGCGTTTTTTTCAATGTTCCAAAGGAAGTGGTAAACGTGATGGCAGAAATTTTAATTCCAACGACCACGAAAGGTGCTCAGTATTAAACACGATGGCGCGCTATAAAAGGAGCCTTATATCCCACTGGACCATTTGTCAATCAACCGTCGTGTGATGTAGAACTCTTAGAGTCAAGTCAGCTTGAGCTACAGCTACTTCAAAGCAGTGAACAGCGGGCGCATTCCTCAAAATTGTTTTCTGTCTTCATCACAATACAAGAAATTTTGAGATTTGTATTACCTTTCTCCAATGGGAACTGTCTTTATTTGTGGCGGTAAATTTGAGATGGAAGTAGGTGGTTCGCACGTTACCTCATTCCACCATGCTGGTGGAAGTGAACAATAGATATCTCATTAGCTCCTTTTGTTCGTCTACCAGCATTTGAATTTGACCCGCACTCGTCAAGGGTGAGTGACAAATGAGCCCAGGTCTTCCCAGGGAAGACTTCCTTATATAGCGCGCCACACGAAAGCGCCTACTTCGATCTCAAATTTACCGCCACAAATAAAGACAGTTCCCATTGGAGAAAGGTAATACAAATCGCAAAATTTCTTGTATTTTGATGAAGACATAAAACAATTTTGGGGAATGCGCCCACTGTTCACTGCTTTGGAGCAGCTGTAGCCCAAGCTGACTTGACTCAAAGAGTTCTATATCACACCACGGTTGATTGACAAATGGTCCAGTGGGACCTAAGGCTCCTTTTATAGCGCGCCTTCGTGTTTAAGTTTGGTGTAATTAAAAAAAACCTGTTGAATTCTAGTGGAAACTGGCATCTTATCTCGATAGGAATAATCAAAACAATTGTAAAAGAATGGTCTCAACAATAAAACGAATGTGCAACAGAAGTAGAGAGCACCTGAGCAATTATACTGAAACACTTTTTCGCGTCAGGCTGTGTCTACTATTGAATAATCCCCTGACTTCTTCTCGAGGATTATTCAACAATATTCACATTAGCGAATAATTGTTAAATATACATGTAGACAGTTTAACCTCACCAGATTGTAACGAGAAAGACTAAAATAACAGAGGAAAGACCCAACAAGATCCTTGCATCAAATGTATAGACAGAGAAAACCAGTATGGTCTCTAGTCCTGGGATTAAGCGTTAATTGCCTGCCCTATCTTACCATCGCAAAAAGTAGCTTCTCCAGTCCATGTCTTATTGGCTTGACACCTTCTGACATTCGATCCCTTCAATATGAAACCTTCGTCGCAGCTGAAGGTAATAACATTTGGGAAAGTTGTCTCATTCCCGAACAGGGATCCGTTTAGTGGAACTGATAGACTTCCACAATCATTTGCTACATTGAGATAGAGAAATAAATACATAAAATTGTTTTCTCTTTTTAAGGAAAAACAAAGTTGATTCCTAAGTTGGAGAATGTAACTGTTAATAGTCATAAATCTTCCACAACCACGCAGTATCTCCTCAGAAAAAAGAGAAAATTTGCTGGAAAGGTTCATAACACCCTTTGGAAAAGTTGTCTAACTCCTCAAAAGAGATCCGTTTAGTGGAACTGATAAATTTCCACGGTCATTTGCGACAGTGAGATGAAGAAATGATTACATAAATTAATTTCTCTTTTTTCATTGGAAAAACAAACGTTGGCTCCTAAGTTGTAAAATGTAACTTTTGAAAAATCATACACCTTTCAGAACCAGGAAGTATTTCTTCAGAAAAAAGGCATTAGCAGGAAAGATCCAAACCACTCTGAGTTCCATTACTCACAGCTGTTTTCTTGTTTCCTACAAGTTCTCATAACCCCTTTTTTAAAAGCTAACAATAAACTATTATAGTACCTTGACAGAAAGGCTCGACACCACTCCATGTTCCATTAGTCTGGCATTTTCTGACTGCTGATCCCAGAAGTGTGAATCCTTCATCACATTCAAATTTTAGAGCATTCGGATATATTGTCTGTTCGCCATACACACTACCATTCATCAAAGTGGAAAGTCTTCCACAATCGATGGCTAAAATCGATTCAAATTTTTTTTCTATTCAGTGAGTACACTTAAAATCCTCAGGAAAAAATTTGAACTTACCTTTTATCATAAATGACTAAAGTCATTCTGACTAGCAAGACACTTTTCCCAACAACTAAACCTACAGTTTACGCTTTATATGATCAAATGTTCTACAGGTACCATCCTTGTTAAAATGTGTTTTCACCCACCAGTGCAGGTAGTGTTAGTTCCACTCCAAGTTCCATTGGCTCGACAAGTTCTCTCTGAAGAGCCAGCCAAGAAAAAACCAGGGTCACAAGTAAAGTACTTTGTGTTTGGGTATACAGTGAGATTGCCAGATAGAGACCCATTCGTAGGTGCATCCAGAAAGCCGCAGTCAATTGCTTCAAAAAGAAAACACATTTCAACAAATACACAGTACACCTAACGCTTCCTTGACACTTGTACCTGAGCACTAGTGCCAGGTCACCGGCACAAAATGGTACTGTGTTTAGAAACTGGATATCCGATATATCAGAGCCTGAATACAAGGTCAAGACCTTGTACTCGGGTAGGGGCACGGTGCCCGAATTCTGGTGTGAGTACTTGAGAAAAAAAGGTGTGTTCACATTGGTGCCCATCAGGAATCGTACCCGGGCACCATGCTCGAGCACCAAGTGTGAACGCAGCCTAATTTTCACACCCAGAAATCCTCACTTTGGAATGAGCCACGAGCTGCATCTCTCTTACCTTCACATGATGTGTCCACCCCACTCCAGCTAGCATTTGCCTGGCACTGACGGATAGTTGATCCAACAAGAATAAAACCTTCGTCGCAGCGAAAGGTAACCTTGTTTGGAAAAGTTGTCTCAGTTCCAAGAGATGAGCCATTGATGGGTACCGAAGGAGGCCCGCAGTCATTTGCTTACAGATAACATGAAAGAAAGGAAACATGATGTTGTTAGCAAGTTTTGGGCACACATGTCTTGAAGATTAATTGTCTGCTTTTCGATATAGCCGTGAAACTTGGGAAAAACTGAATTTCACGGATAGCCGACATTTAAAATTTCAATGGGAGGTGAGATTTCGTAACCAAGCAATACATCAGTAAAATAGAACAATCCTCAATCTTTAAACTTCTTCATATGGTCATTTCTTGAGTTCCACTACAAGTTCTTGCAAGCACAAATTTCTCAAAGAATTCTGCGTGTTAATACAACCTATTTGAGGTTTTTTCGGTTTGTTTTAAATAATATATACTAGTTTATATTGCCAATATTTAACTAACGTAAGATATTGCAGTATACCTTGGCAAAAAGTACTCGTCCCACTCCAAGTTCCATTCGACCGACACCTTCTCTCAGTAGAACCATGCTGAGCGAACCCCTCGTGACATAAAAAGTGCAAAACGTTGGGATACGTGGTTTTATCTCCGTAAACTGAGCCATTTAGTGGAACTGGAAGCCTACCGCAATCGATCGCTGTAAAATAAGAGCGACCAGAGAACAAATTAATAATACATATAGACTAAATTTAATCCACCTAGAATGATATTGAATATTTATAAATTTGTGTCAATTTATTGAAAGTAATTCATACCACTGCAAGTGGTTTCAGTCCCACTCCATGTACCGTTTGGTTGGCACTGTCGAACGGGTGATCCACTCATTATAAAGCCAATATCACAGTTAAATCGTAGGCCTTCAGGAAAAACTGTACGGTCGCCATGCAATGACCCGTTTGTAGGAGCCTTTAACTGTCCACAATCAATGGCTGCAAAATAAATTGTATATTAATATACAACACAAGCAAAATTCGCAGAAGCATGCTAATTCTGTGTCTGGTAATCTCAAACCTGTACATATAGTTTCGTTTCCACTCCAAGTTCCGTCCTTTTCGCATTTCCTTTCTTTCGGACCATGTATTAAAAAACCTTCATCACAACTAAACGTGACTGCATTTGGAAAAGTGGTCTCAGTTCCAACCATAGACCCATTCTTTGGAGTCCTAAGGAAGCCGCAGTCTTTGGCTGTAGGAGATGAAAGAGAACAACATCGTTGTGAGATGACAAAGTTTAGTTGTGATATGCATCACCAAGAAATTTAACAACTCTTGCTATACATAAAGCAATTCTTTCTTACCAATGCACACTGTTTCTTCACCACTCCATATCCCAGTTTCCGTACAACGTCGCGTGGACGATCCGTTCAGTATAAAGCCATCGTCGCAGTAAAAAAGCAGTTTGTTTGGAAACGTTGTGTAATTTCCACGCATAGAGCCATTTGTGGGGGCTGCGACTAGTCCGCAATTAACAGCTTAAAAAACAGAACCACGTTATTTTTAAGAGACATTTGCATTACTTGCACAAAGCTACAGGACATGTAAAGCTACATGATGAAATCATTCGTTCCCTTTGTAAGAAATAAAAAATAATAACAACGACACTAGCACAACTAAATATTTTCACCCAGACACGAACATACCTTAGTTCATGGTACCTTTCTTTTGAATCTTTCTGTTTAAAAAGTAAGGGTCTGTATCCATCCGTCCGTCCGTCCGATCGTTCAATGGAAAGACTGACCGCCCCCATAAGTACAAGAATACCTTCACTACCACTACTTAGTATTGGGTGGGGGCGTGTGTGTAAACAGGTGTGGTTTAAAATTCCCAGTGAAAATGATGACAAACTTTTGTTTGTCATCATAGGAACCTTAAGTGTGTTATTTTTTCTTTCTCTAGTCGCTACTAACGATTGCATTGGGTCAAAGAGCCACTCCAAGTTCCATTTGCCTGGCATGTTCTCCTCGACGATCCCCTAAGCAAAAATCCAGTGTCACAGGAAAACCAGACACTGTTGGGGTAAACGGTCATGTCACCGTGAGAGGATCCATTTCTTAGAACAGGCAAGGGACCACAGTCAACCGCTGAAATGAGGATAATTACCATAATGATTAACACATTGTTTTTTTGCTTTTTTCAGAACAGATGGGACATATGTATCTTATTAACCAAGCGCGAGGGCCGTACTGGGAGAATATCGGCCAGAGGTCTTGACAGCACGGACCGAGCGCAGTGAGGTCCGTACAAAAAAGACCGAGGGTCGATATTCTTCCAGTATGGTCCCGAGCAAGCTTGGTTAATAAGAGATTTATTATACGACTGAAGTTCAAAGGGATACAAGTGCGATATCATTCGGGACCATTCGGGAAAGTGCCCGGTCCAATACTGAGAGAATATTGACCGGAAATAGAGCATTTTGATTGGTTGATTTTAGTTATTGGCCCTCTGACTGCCCGATTCGTATAATAAACCTGGGTTATTAACCTTTACGGATGTGTTATTAGTATTGTAATTCTAAAATGTTTCTAATAACTCCGTTGATAAGCAACTGTGGCCAAAGCGAAGCGAAAAAGGTGTTAAACATCCTTCTCACAAATATATACAATCATTTTCGTAGACAAATTTTTTTACAAACAAACCTTTACAAAATGTGTCATCTCCGCTCCATGAACCGTCGGCTAAACACTGTCTTTCCGTGGATCCGCCCAGGATAAAGCCAGCACCGCAAGAAAACTGCAATACGTTCGGAAAATATGTCCTGGTGCCCTTTAAACTCCCATTCATTGGCACACTAAGTGCTCCGCAATCAATTGCTACAAACAGATAAGTCGAGATAACATTATATTACCTGAGTACAGTATTGTACAAACAAAATAAACTCAACTTTACTAATAGCTGATCTTCACAAGTAGTGTGATTTCCGCTCCAATAACCAGCAGATAAACAACTTCTCACTGATGAACCTCTCAGAATAAATCCCGAATCGCAGGAAAACTGTACTGAGTTCGGAAAATATGTCAGCGATCCGTACGACGAACCATTGGCAAGAACAGGTAGAGATCCACAATCAACCGCTGATATATCAAAACATGTTCATCTAATGAAGATGCGCAATTACGAAAACAAGTATTGCAGTCAAAATTGTGATATGTCGAGATTTGCATTTAAAAAACCAGGCCAAAGGAGGAATTCCACCAACCCAACATGTTTTACTAACAGCCATTTCTTCAAAGGTTTTCGTAATTAAATAAACTGTAAGTGCACAGTTATTCGCAATCATCAACTAGGAGTTTAACATGCTAGATTTCGTAATTAAGGGGAATAAACTGGAGGACCCAGAGAAAAATCATGAAAGGAAGAAAAATGAGAAAGAAAAAAGAAAAACGATAAATTTGACCCACAGCCCATGAAATCTATCTCTGAACTATCTTCACTCTTCCAAAGCAATTGGTACTATAAAAAAACAGGCTTAAAAAGTGTTTGGTTTTTCACTAAAATTTGTAATGGGCTAAAAGTTAATACAATTCAAACAGAATTAAATTCTTCAGCTCAGTTTCCGAGAAGCGAAATACGCGAGGCACTTGTCACAAAATTAATTCCTCAGCTCGGTGGCTGAGTAACGAAAACGGTTTCTAGTGAGGATTCGCGAGAACTCTATGGTAAACCAGTCATATTTCATTGGAAAAGCCTCCCGCATACTTATAGGATCTGAAAAGGCCCGTGTTGTATGAAAGATGGTCGCGGACTGCAGAAAAAAATTTGTTAAATATCTTTAAAAAAAACTGTCACGAGGGACATTGCCGGTCCTGGCAGTATACGTAGGAAACTTGAGAGATATAAACCTTGGATATGGCCACCTCACCAACGAGTTCCTTTTAGCTCAGTGAGTTGAGCGCGAGATCGCGAAATCAGAGGGTCTGTTCTTTAAATCCTCACGGACTTTTTCGTCGTCTTTCGTTAGTTAGTCGCATACGCTTCAAATTTCTTTACCTACACATGTTGATTGGATTCCGCTCCAAGTTCTGTTCGCCTGGCAGAATCGTTTTGCAGAACCTTTCAACAAAAATCCCTCGTCGCAGAACGATAACACCTCATTTGGATACGTGGTCAAATTTCCCAGATACGTGCCATTCAGAAGTAAAGGCAATAAACCGCAATCAACAGCTGTGAGATATATGGAAAGAAAACAGTAGTACATTTAAAAAAAGATGATAACAAAAAGTAAATGCCTCGTGTAAACTGGGTGTGTTCACGTGCTATTCACTGTTTGTCTCAGCACTGTTAGTCTGCCTGACAATAATTGTGTTGATAAGATAGGTAAATTTTAAATGATATCAGTTTATCAATGAAAACCTGTATTAAGACGTGTAGTCCTTTTACGTTAGAACCTTCACTTCAGCTAAGTAATGGTAAAATAGTGTTGTTTCTGTTACCTTGACAAGTTGGTTGTTGTCCGCTCCATAACCCGTTTGCTTCACACTTCCTGACAGTAGACCCAATCAGGTCAAAGCCGTTGTCACATGAGAATTCCAGCTTGTTGGGAAAAGTAGTTTGACTTCCAAAAACTGAGCCATTCGTTGGAAAAGGGAGATGCCCACAATCCTTAGCTAGAAGTAAAAATTAATGTTAATGGATCTTCATCTTTTAGACAAGTGAAATTATAGTCATGTACGCATTACATAAGTAAGACAAATTAAGGTCAGAGAAATGCTGCCGAAGCCTACAAG